ATGACTGGTGAAAGGTGAAGGGGAAAGAAATAAGTTTGTCATTATTGGTCCCCTTGAAGTTTTCTGACCATAATGCTGCCTTTAACCCCCACAAGCTGTTTGAAGGATAGTTTAAAAATTGTAGCCGGAATATTATCAGCATAGTCCCAAGCACAGACATCTTGACATCTCCTGAACTCAGATAAATTCTGAGCTTGATCATTATGTCAAAGATTCTGTCTAGTTAGAAAAACTGAACTCTCCTTGGAACTACCACTGCTGTTACAAAGCCTTGAAATACTTAATTGCAGAGCTGTACTTATTCTAGCTCTTAAAAAACATATATTTTAAAGTCTAGTTTTTAGAGGCCTTACCCTATACCAGACATCACAGTTCCTGAGCGTATTCCAAATACCCATTAGTGTGCTATCTGATGTATTACATCACAGCCTTGCAAAAAACTGCAAATCCATGTTTTGGATTTTAATGCCCAAGAATCTGTCAACACCTTAACAGTATGGAAGTGTTCAGTGAATAGTTAAGCTTATATAAAAAGAATTCACAACCAGCTGTTAGTCCTTGTGAGATCATGATGTCAGTCCCTGCTCACTGCCCATTGTAGTACAGACTGGGACACCTACCTCATATACAAAGAATTTGTCATTGCAGGTTCTTACTTCCTTAGACTCTCCTACTACAAGTATTTATTCAAGGCCCTCCATTTTAACAATCACAGGGGGCTGCTGATTCCTTTGACAGAGAGAAAGACCAATTTAATTTTGTTCTTTTTTCTCATTATTGCCTGAAGTGCTTGACAGAAAGAGCAGGTCATCCTTCCAGCAGCAGAGATAGAATTATTCAGTGTTCACACTTGCTCCCCTGCCCTCCCATTTGTAAGTTCCATTTGTAAGCGCAGTAGAAACTCCTGAGATGGTATCTGAACTAGAGTCCTGTCATTAATCTGATAGTTAACTGGCTTTCAGAGCTGGAAGATACTATGACCTGTCAAACTTAGTACGCGGAATGTCAACAACTTGGCTTCATTTCAGCTCCGACTAGAAGATGTTGAGTCTGACTGTGACAAGAAAGCATCTGGAGAAGCTCTCAAACATCTCTGAAAATCCCATTTATCCAGGAAAACTGCTCCATCATAGTTACAATAGCCAAAACGTTCAGATAGTTTCTAGGTACACCTGTGCTTTTCACTGCAACACCAGAAATATCTTCCTGCAATTCCTACATGAAAAAAATATTCTTTTCTCAGTGATTTAGTGCATATCAATGCCATTAAAGCCATTTAGAACAGGCTACAACAATGCATTCTCCCTGTTCAGGAGACTTATGAAAACTCATGGGATGTAACACTTCCTACCACTATCAGCATCTCTTTGTTTCTGTTACAGTTTTATATCCTGATTAATGTATTTTGCCAGGTTTAACTGAAGTGCTACTGTAAAAAATTGCTAAACATTAGCCAAAGTCAAGACATCTGGAGACACAAATCATATTTCTGTTATTTACTACAGTTACTAATTTTATGTGCAAAAATGTTCAGTAGAAGAGATCTCCATATTTTAACCCATACATAAGTCTCCCAAGTAAAAAAGCATATGTCACTCAAGCAAACAGATTTTTACTAAACTTTTACATTAGAATGCAACACTTGATAAGCTGAGCCTCACAGATTTGCTTTAGCATTCTATCAACTACCTCAGTCGACAAATACATCACAATTATTTGGCTTAACAAATTAAAATTTCAACTGTTATTCAAAATGTGTTAATTTGCTGTTCATTAAAAAACCAGCGACAATAGGAATAAATACTGTGACTTTAATTAATAAATACTGTAATGCTGAAGCACTTAGCTTCTCCATGTCCAAATCCCAAGACACTTTGTTCAAGATGACTGCTCAAGATGTTAGGGCAGTTTTGGTCAGCCACAGACCTGTCCTGGAGAGAACTATTCAAGCTATTTACAAATACTTACTGAAGTCAAGAGAATAAAAAAGCTGCAGCTTATCACCAACCCCATGTCAGTACTATGAATAGCCTGACTGTTGCCCTTTTTATTAAGAATTTCATTAATACCTAAATTTTCACAGTTCTGGATACACAGGAGAAAAACAAATGTAAATGCCTCAGCTCCATCATCAAATGAGCTCACAGAAACTAACAACCACTACAAATATTTAGCAAGTGCAGAAAATATGCATGAAACAATGCCTGAGAGGCTTAGTTAGTGTAATAACCACACTGAGACTTGGAAAACTTTCTTCAGTAAAGAGAACCACCCAATAACACATGCAAATTTTGTGTTTATCTTTGCTCCTTTTGCAGTTTTCTGTTTGGTTTCCTCCACTTAAACACAATATCTGGTTTCATATAATTCCTGTTTGATTTGTTATATCACTAAGGACATTGCAGATGTACCTTCCCTGAATCTGGACCTCTGTATTTCACAGCATTTTACTCTTACGATAATTCACAAACGTTCTAAAACCTTAAAATTCAATCCCTGCTTTCCTCCTGTTGCCTTGGCTATATGTTGCAGTGAGACCTTCCTAAAACACATAGTAGAGGAGTGTATCCTCGACCTCTTCAGCCACCCTGCTGTCAGCCTGTTGCCTCCTTTCTCTTTTCAACCCCTCACCTTTCCTCTACTGGCAGCTTGGGTGAAAGACGAGCTCTTTCTCAGAAGGTGTGGATGTCCCATCCCAGTAAGTGTTTAAGGCCATTTTGGATAAGGCCTAGAAGTGTTTAAGGCCAGGCTGGAGAGGGCTTTGAGCAACCTAGTCTAGTAGAAGACAGATATGCCCATGGCAGGGAGGCTGGACTAGAGGATCTTTTGAGGTCTCTTCCAACCCAAACCATGCTGTGACCGTATGGTGCAGGTATCACAGAGTCCTGCAACATGACAGTGTCCACTCACACATCACAGTGGAGCAAGCTACTATTGAGCTTGTAGAGGAAATGTTAAACATATAGCGTTTCCCAGCAATGATCCAGATGCCATCTGGGCTTGTGTAATTAAGCATTAAGTGCAGGTAGTCCACTGATCTGGTCCAAGAGCTGCAGCATTTAATGGAGGACAGTATTTCAGATGTGTGTCTCTACGTGAGGTGCTGCCCTTAAGCATTATATATTAGCATTATATATTTCCATTAGGCAGAATATATTTTGCCATAACCTGGCAAAAGTTTAAGATGGCAGAGACAGGAATGACAGCATGACAACACAGTAAGGAAGACAAGGATGTTGAGCTCTTTTTAATGGCACATGCTCACTGCAGAATGGTGTTTCTAGGCCAGAAATGCAACCCAGGACTGCTGGGAGTAAACCATCCAACTTCACACTTTGCATGTATCTGAGTTTAGAGACAGGCTTGGTAGCTAAGCCCTTCCCCAGCCTGAGCAATGAAACACACAGCACTCCTCCATGCACTGAAATACAGAGCACCTATATTGACTGTACAGGGACCCTGACAATAAACTCCTTGAATTAAACAATGTATGTCTCTTCCTAGTGATTAAAAACACACATGGCCACTGAAAGGTCCAGAATTTCTTAAGCTTCCTACCTGTGCAGAACAGAAAGGACTGTTCAGATTTAGACTCAAGTCACCATAACTAACTGTCCCAGGAATTTTTGGAAATATTGCTGCAGTTGTGTCAGACAGGTAAGTCACTTCACTGAGAAACACTGCAACAAGTATACCTATTTTGCCTTGTACTTTCTCTGAGGCAGTGCTTTATGCTTTCACCACATTTCTCCAGCTACTATACCTGTGGCAAAGTATTATACTACATTATCCCACTACAAAATGTCTTAGACCAATTTTTTTAATGAACAATAACAAAGCTTTCATCTTACAGGTATCACAGAATAAAAACATTTCACTCCTGTTAAGTTTTTATGTGTCTCCAGGATTGTCGGTGGCTAGCACATCTTTATAAGGTCACTTTTAAATGAGTTTCCTCGACCATGCACATGGGCTGGAGTCACCTTCTAGTGTCACTCACTGTGGTGCCTACTCTGGTTAGTACAAGGCAAGGTTTGCAAATGTATTTCAAAAAGCATTCTTAATAATACAATGGCATTACTTATTTACTTGAACTTCTTCCAGGGCTTAGTGAGATACATGTGACAGAAGTATTCTTCATACCAAAAAACAAGAAAGAAAAAAAGGCAAAAATATTACCTAATACTTCCTCCTCAACAAACAGGATTTGGAAAAACAAAATCTTTAGTGTTATATGCCAATGACCACATACCATAGATACATGGTTTTTCTAGGAAGATGGAATGATAATTTGCAGTATTTGGGAACTGTTAAACAAGTTCACAAAACTTCTGTGTCAGCATAATCATTTAGTTGTCATGAAGTTTTTATTTTCTCTCAAAAAGAAAGCAAATAAAGCAGCAAAGAAAATACATCAAAATTTCATGAAAACATTGTACTTTTATTTCAGGGACTATCACTAAAGCCAATTTCCCTTATGAGATTTTTCCCTTCTGACAGACTTTGGGCTAATACAAAGATCTCTTGAAAGGAGATACCTGGAGATCTGAAGCCCTTCTTTTTCAGTCCCTGTGGGATTTTTCTCCCTACACTTTGCTCTTGCAGGAGAAAACTGTTATCCTAGATGTGTGACAATGACAGCCCCTAGTGGAACTCAGTTATGTCCACAGCAGCCTTTCACAAAACCTCTTTCACAACCACTGCTGGATTTGCAACACATGGGCGTACATTTTTCTACAAGTAATGAATCAATATGGCAACCTGTCTTCATTTTTCACTCACTCTAGTTAGAAATTAGCTATGTGCCCTGTATCATCAAGTTTTTTATTCTTCTCTCATCACCATTTTTAGACTTACACTTACTAACTATATTTTCCAGCTTTTTTTCTGAAATGAAAGTTAGTATAAGGTTTTATTGCTTTTATCATTACGCTAATTCACAAGTTCAAAAAAATCCATTTGTTCTTTGTTTTCACTTGAAGTGTTATGGCATTACTTACTGGCAGATGCTTACTCAGATGCTCTGAGATGGCTTCTAGATAACTGAAGGGGAATTAAAGCCTTCGACAGCAGGTGCAACTCTTGCCTGGTTGTGGAAGTGTCCATTTCTCGTCTGGCTGAGTCTCCTTGTCCTGCTCCGGTGGTAGGATGCACATTGTCTCTCAGACACGCACGGTCTCCTTGAGTCTGTCCCCCAAGAGCAGAGTTCAGCAAGCTTGGTCTGCAGCAGGGGCTGCTCCTGAGGAAAAGACCCCAAGGCACAGGTGGAGTTGGGCAGGCAGAGGAGGGGCTGTGGACAGACTGCTCACACAGGGTGAGAAGCAGGTGGTGGTCTCTCCAGTGCCTCCCCTCCCTGAGAGCATCCCTGTGTCCCTGCAGGCTGCCACACGTGGAGCACATCCCCAGGCTGCATCAGTCTTTTAGGCAGGGCTGCTCCATATCTGGGCTCATGTAGCATGGCTGGAGGCCATGAGCATAGCTGGGGCTTCATACCCCTCCTCAAGTCATGAACACTAATCCTGACCCTAAAGGGAAATAAGGGGCTGCACCAACATGCCCTGGCACAGGGCAGCAAGAGTCCCTGTCCCCTGCCTCAGCAGCCAATATCTCGCTGTGCTTTTCCCAGGAAGGGGAGTGAGCCCAGGAAGCATGCAGGGAGGAGTGTGAACACCAGAACGTTGCAGGCCATGCAGTGGCACTGTAGCAGCTTCTGCACCACGCAAATACGCCCTCACCTTTCCTGTTCAGCCTGGGGCATCTGTGCCAGGGGCCTGAACCTTTGCCAACAGCTTCTCCTTCTCCTGGGGATGGGGTGGGATCATCTTAGCATGGGTAAAACATGCATATTCCAACTTGAGAGGATCACTTCTGAATGAAATATTTCAATTGGAAGTTAGTGGGTTCTGCATTGTGCCTTCTTGGCCTAACAATTCATCTCCTCATTCTCAGAGAACGGAATTAAAATATATTATAAATATATAAATACCAAGAAAACTATCAATTACCAGCATTTGCATTTTTCATATGAATGGAAACACTAGCAAGATGCCTGTGACTGAGTTAAACCCATCCTCAGAGTTAAAAAAAAAAAATGAAAACCCCAGTTACCCCCAATAGCAGTAAAGAAACCATCTGTCATATGCTTTTTATTTAACTTTCTCACTCAATGGAATCTATAAACACTGATGGAATTCCTGGAACTAGAGTGAAAAGCATAAATTTTGTTTTCCACAGAGAAACCAACCCTCATGTGGAACTGAACCTGCAATGAGTTCTTAGAGGAGATGCATTCTTCCAGACTCCCCAAACTATTATACCAAGCAGCTCAAGGCACCAGCTGCAGCATTGCCAAGGTGTTTTGCACTTTGGATGGGCTCTCTGTGGGTATCCACATCCATGGCAAAAGGAGAAGGCATGGACGGACAACTAAATGGCCTTGTGTCACCAACAACAGCAAGGTGTCATTTCAGCGAGCAGAAGTGTTGGACCTATTTACGAGCTATGGTGGTGTGAGGCAGGGGAGGGGAGATGAAGCCTTTGCACAGCTACTCCTGAAATCTTTGTCATTCCAGGGACTAGTCAAGAGTCTGGACACTGCAGAAATCTGACACTAAACTGCCTTCTGAGAAACACCGTTCAACAGGCAGCAGCTTGAGGTTTCCGAGAGCAACCTAGGCAACTACTAAAAGAAAAAAAAAGAAAAACCCAAAAAAACCAAAACAAACCCACTCTTTTTTCCCGTAAGCCGACTGTCACTGACATTCCACTGGTTTTCCGAACATAGAAGAGTAAGTATTTCTGCGTAGTAAGTCGTGGCCTCGTTCTATTTCTCTTCCCCGGTAACAGGCAGCAGATCAGCCGTTCCGATATGATCCCTTTAAAAATTAACTCGGTCCCGTCCTTTTAACTTCTTCTCCCATGCAAGCTGCTACCCGCGGAACAGAAGTAGTTACTTAACTGCTTTTACTTATGCATTTACTGCTTTAAAAATATTTTCAGCTTCGAAAAACACGTAAGCTTTCCTATCGGCCAACTCCTGAGGATTCCTCTTTGTCCATGCAGCCATTAGGGACGCTCTGCTTCCTGAGGCGCTCCGCTTCCTGAGGGAAGGGCGGGAGGCGGGAGCAGCGGCCTCCACTCAGAGGGGAAAAGCACGGCGCGAGAGCCAATCAGAGGGGAACGCTAGGGGAGACCGCCAATCAGAGGGCTGGGTTCCCTGTCCCTAGCGGGCGGGGCGAAGGCGCCGCGGTGCTGAGGGAAGGGCTGTCGTGGCGGCGTGAGGGGCTGAGGTGGGTCGCTGTGGTTCCTTCCTGTTGGTAGATTTAAAAACATTTGATGCTGGCAGAAGTTCCTCATCCAGAATATTTCGTTTACGGAACGTGGTGTTCCCTCGAGTCCTTGGAGAATGAAGCAGGGTCATACTCGTTGTTTTTGGTTTAAAAAGTTTGAAGACTTCCTTGTGGGCTCACAGACTGGTATTTCTAGGTCCCACTTTTTCAGTTTTAAATTGGAAACTTGGAACGTACCTGGACTCAGTGTTTTTTTTTTCTTACTGATTGACACACCCTTAAGGAACTAGTGATACCTGGAGTGAGTACTGAGCAGTTCGCTACTTCTAGCGTATTCATTCAAATTTTATCACTGGGAGTAGTAGTAACAATTCTATAGCCAATACTTGAATTATCCCATGGTTATATTGCTATAAAGAAGTTTTAGTCAGTGATACACATCAGTTATGCTAAGGTGCAGTTCTGTCCACTGCCCTCCAGCACTTAAGGTGTGGATCCATCCCTGCTTACCAATCCCTGCTTGCTCCACTCTCCCACACCAAGTCTGTTGGATGTAGATCTGATGGAGCGCCCAGCAGGCTGTCCAAAGGATTTTCTCTACGATCATGTGATTTTGGCCCACTGCTTCAAGCTATCCACACTCCTTCCCTTAGAAGGTTCCCTTCTACTTTGTTCTCAATATGATTTTGTATATCTTTTTGCCTTTTTTTGTTTCTTTGCCTGAACCTACCTTTTTACTTCTCCTGCACTACTTTTCTCTGTCCAGACTCCATTCAAGTAACCAACTACCCCCTAGTTACCTTTTCCTCCACCATAGAATTGGTTCAAATTCTATTACATTCATGTCTGTAATTGGTATTTCCAAATTTGTAAGGTAGGCAGTTTTTTAGCCTCATGTCCTGATACTTACTGATACATACAGGAAAATTGCCTTCTGTCACAGGTTTTCTTTATGGTGCTACAGTTCATTTTATTAAAATTAAATTACATAATGCACTTTTTAATGTAATTATCTTGAGTTTGAGTCTTCCACCTATTTTCAATTAAGAAAAAGTACTGTATTACAGTATATCCTATTTTGCATTCACACTGTGTCTCTAGCCTTGTATAGTGTTTGCCTTTCTCCTGGTTCCCCTCAGAAGCATCAACTCACTTAGAGACCTGGTGCTCTCAGCTAGCTTATACAATATCTCCTTTTTTCTTGTGAAACTGGAAGAAGGGGGAAAGCCCCCTCACAAATACATGGGGCAGTGGGAAGTTAATAGTCTAGACAGTTGAATTAGTGCCGTTAAAAACAAATTTATAATCCATAAGAAAAATCACTGAATCAGTTAATTTAAGAGTTATTACTTAAGGGAGATAATTTGTATTGCCTACATTCTCTTAATGGTTCTAGAGGTTTTCTGAAAAATAAACACCAAGAAGCATAGCTAAAAAAATAAAAAACCCCAGTTCTTTCAGAAAGAAATCAAATGTTCATGCTCTGTAGTTGGTCTGTTACATCCTTCCAGAGGAAGATTATTGAATGCTTTGTGTAGCCTTCTTCTACAGCACATTCAGTCCATTGTGCATGTGCTAGACATTATTGAAGCTATTCATGTTGAACCTGAAATTCGACCTCCCCTTTCAACATTTTGAGGTGATATGAAAAGTTTTTAACTGATCCATATTCTGTATGTCTTCCAGACAACTGAAATGCTGAGAATATCACAAAACAAGATGTTTGCAGCTTTGAAGTATCACTCAACAGACTATTTATACGAGGTATGGATTTATTGTTTCTCTTAATAGTCTGAACAAAATATAGCAAATTCAGTGAAATTGAGAAAGGATTGTGCTAAAAGATTGAGTGCGCATTAAAAAAGAAAACAAGAATACTTTTTTTCAAATTCTCGTTAAGAGGTTTTTGTGTTGCACTTTGTGGGATAACACCGTGAAGTGATTACAGGCTTTTTTAATAAAAAAATTTAGGTACAATTTTGCACAGACTGTAGAACATGAGTTACTTTTAGTGTCTGTTGCATTTACTTATAATGATTTACTTATTATGCACATACAAGTTTCCTGTTTAGAGCTTTCTTTGGAGAATACACTGTTAAATTAAATTAATTACTTTCTGTAGAAATAATCCAACTTTTTAGCTACTTTGGTGTGTATTAGAATAGTGATAAATAATGCTGTATTCCTTAATGATTGTAGGGAAAAGTTTTTGCAATGTTTTAGATTAAATTCATGGAAAGGAGATTTTTTTTTTTTTCTCACACAAACGATGACTATTTTACAACCTCTTATCCCCAAAGTACCCAGTCATAACTGGTTTTCACTTACTTATATTTTCAAAGAAAGGCCACAGACCAAATACGAGACTTCTCTTGCAGAGGAGCAGAGGGGCACCTTGCCAGAGAGGCCATTTGTGGTGTGTGAGCAGAACAATGTAGCGAGACATGAGGCCTTCAGGAGTTCAGGGGGAGCAGAAGGACACTTGGAGGCGCTCCTAGCACTTAACTGCAGAATTACAGCCTGGGAAGTGGTCCGGCTGTAGCACTTGTGGTTGAACTGCGATCCAAATTATGAAACATCGCCCACATGCCTTTCTTTAGGGTACAGCAGCTGTTCTGTATAGTGCCTGTGTCTGTCCCTGCTGTTTTCTTAGATTGTAGCAACCAGAATTTCTTTTTCTGTTGTAATTCCTGCAGTATGCAGTCTGTCATGCAGTGTTTGTGTGGATATCTTCTCAATGTAGTTCCATTCAGCTTGATCACCAGTTGTTTCCGTGTTGTCTACAAATCAAAAATAGGTGTGTTAGCAAAACATGTCGTGGGCTTTATGCAAAAGAGAATTACATGGCTTTTCTTGCCCGAGTTTTGAGGAGGATGGTTCTGACATCAGGACAACTGAAAACTTTTAGAAGAGAAATGCTGAGGGACCTGCTGAATGGCTGCTCTGGAGCAAAGTAAATCTCACTCTGTGGTGCTACCACAAGGGGCCCATGGATGTTGTATACATTTAAAGGTATACAGATCTGACTGTGCAAGGGAGATGCTGTGCTCGGACTGCAGTATCTGGTTCCACTCTTGTGCCTAGTTGCTGCCGTCTAGAAAAAGCTACATTGGTATTTCCTCTATCAATTGCCCTTGACTAAAGCTTCCAGGTTTTAGGAAACACTGAAATTCAATGACCTGATATCAAACTGCTTCCTGCGCATAGCTCACTCAAGTGGATGCAGAATCCTGCTCCTAATATACTTGTTATGCACTTATATCAATTCCAGGTGTAGTTTTTCCAGCTTCTCTTTATAAGTATCTTTGAAGAAAGATACTTTCAGTCATCCTAGACACAAGAGTTACATGCTCCTGAGTGTTGTAGGTGTGATTGCAAAGTCATCTTGGTAATGCAGGTTTTTCTAGTGTTATAAGAAAACAATACATGCAAACTGAATAGAACTGGGATAATATTTTTCAGTTGGAAGAAAAATGTGCAGAGACCTTTATATTTTCTTGATAAACAGGGGTAAATATGTACCGATTGAATGCTACAGCTATTAATAATGGCCTTGAAAAATACTTTTATATATTTGAGAATGTCAAGAAAAATTGTGTTTTATCAGACTTTATAAAGTGAACTAATCTAGCTTAAACTTTACGCTTTGAACTGTTTCATTTAAAATATTTTGTAAAATGCACCATTTTCCTGATGTAAGGCTATTACCTGTGATAATAGCTCTAGGATGTATTTCTTCCACTTCACAGATATCAGTGACAGAAACAATTTTATCTATTAAGCTAAAGTTAGCCTCAGTAAAACTACAAAGTGGTGTTTCAAATTTCTTTCTGATCTCTGTTTTATTATTGTATATACTTACTTGTTCAACAGCTTCTACAGTAGCAGTAGCATTCTTCTTTATCCTATGTGTCATTTGACAACTTTTATGTGCTAATTCTGACAGCTTCTTTTAATGAAAAGAAGGGTTATCCATACCATTTCCTGTTCCTGTTATCTCTATTAGGAAATTTACTAGCTGCCCATTATTTTATGATAAATGCAGTTGTTTCAGCAGTAACTTCAATACTGATTACCTAAACTGATACATGGCCAGTAACATGTAGAAGACATTGGTCTAGCTGCCCATAGTTGTCTGATTCTGTCTTGTTTATTCAGAATTTGTGAAAGAGATCAGTGAGGAAATGCCATGCTTTTGATTTAGGCAAGAAAAACTCCATTGGATCAGATCTGTTTTTTCACAAGAGCCTTTTAAGGAAATGATGCGATGATGGCAGGAGTTTTTGGATTTTTAATTAAAATTAACTAGCATTTACAGAATTGTAACTATCCCACAAAGGATTAAATAGAAATTGAAAAAGGATTTGTATTCATGCAGTGGCAGTATTTGTTTTCATTGCTTCCCATGTGTGTATTTGTTTGTCGATGTTGGTTTATTTTGGTTTGTGGTTTTGGGATTTCTTTGACCCTAGGTTTTCTCTTTTCTTATAGGAAGGTTTGAAAAGTACACCAATAGCATGGTTAATCTGGTTGCAGTCCAAATCAGTGAAATATTTCAAATATTTGTAGTCTGTCACCTGAGATTTCTAGCAGTACAGGCAAAATTTGGCTTGACAGCATATGTTGGAATGGCTGGGCAGTTCTGAGAGCCGAAGCAACACAGCTGAAGTGAGGCAATGGGTTTACAGCTAGAGAAAAGTTTCTGGTTTCATTCACTATGTTGTTCCACATGACTATAGCTAGTTCTCTTTTCCAATATGCCTTTAACTCCGCAGACTTTTAAAGAACAACTTCTTTCTTCTTCTTTCTATAAACTCATTAAACACAAATGTGTAAGTATAATTTTTCTTTGCTTCCTGAACTCACTGGTTATTCTTTGGTTCTGTGCTCTATTGCATAAGTACTAGGCACGGGTTTCTGTGACAAAAGAACTGTAAGGTAGTTTATTGAACTTGGATTCAGTGAAAAGTTACTAAACTTGCCACGTAAAGTATTTCATTCCAGAATTCAATTGATTACTGTCCCTGGTTTTAGAGAAAATGAAAGGCTTTAAAAGGGCTTTCATTAGCTCATAATGACACATGAAAGACAGGAGGCCTTAGAATATTAAAAGCACTTGAAACAGCAATAGTAGGAATGATTGTTTCTGGTCAGCTTATCCATATGTCCATTCAGGGGACCATTCCAAGTGTTAAGATAGGCACTTGTAATTGCACATTCAAAGCTTAGTTAAAGTTTAGCTAAGTGTATGTTCAATTCTGCATATTCAGACAAGTAGATTAAAAGTTAAATAGCAAATCAGGTAGATGTTAGTATCTTCTCTTCAGAAGAATAAAACCCTTGAAAGCTGTGGGAATGTTTGAAGAAGCAGTACACAAAAAGAATGGAGCTATCTCTCTCATGATTTTATCACATGCCCTTTTTTTATTCAGAGCATGGCAAGGCAGAAGTTTTCCATCTGGAAATTATCCCTTTGCTTTCCTCCCTGTTTGCATCAAGATGAAAAGTATCATCTCAATGGACTCTTTGCTGATGATAAGTATAGGAAGCCATGGACTAGAAGTATGTAATATAATCCTTAAGTTTAGTTTAGATTTACTGTAGATTAAAAAAAAAAGATTGTGTTTATCCATAATAAGATAAATCTGATAAAAAAATATTCCAGACATAGCACTATGCCCTTTCTTATACTTCTTGAAGGTAGAACATCTTCATTGTCCAACTTGAGGCAAATGGGTAATGGATATTTATTTGAGTATATTATTTTATATGAGGCATCATAAATGAGATGACATTTGATTAGTTTGTAGAGTTCTCTGGATAGATTTCTTTCCAGAAAAATGATTATGGAAGAAAAGCAATGATCAGAGATAAGTAAAATACCAAACCTGATTAGCTGGGAGAGGTTTGGAAGATGATGCTGAGGTTATGAGATGTGGCAAAAAAATGAGGTCTTCGAATGACAAAGGGAAATACATGCATAAAAGTGTTTGCATCTTTCTTGTGCATTTGTATTACCTTTGCTAATGGAAACTAAAGGTGTTGTTTCTTCTATGCATCATGTGGAAAGTTTGATTAACCTCTGCAATAATTTAATCAATATATAAAAATTAATTTTAATATTTTCTGCATGAATGTTTTTCTCCTTTTCATCTTAGTTGGTTCAACACAGAACATGATGGCTATTTCAGTATTGGATCAATGGAAGAGAAGTTTACCTGTGGAGGATTTCCTGGAAAAGTCAGTAACTTTAAGTTAAAAACATTTATGATTTCTTTGATATCACTCAGGTATTTTGTGATTTGTGCACTAATGATGAAAACAGAATATGAAGATGTTTCCTGATAGTAGCAAGTGTGCTTGAGCTGTACACTGTATCAGATAACTTAAAGATAGGTTTTTCCACTAAAAGCAGCATTGTGTTTTTATGGAGTTCACTGGTTCTTTATGTATTTTTTAATGGTTGTGTCATCTATTTATGACATTGGAGAAAGTCTCTGAAAACTGCATGACCATGAAAATAAGCTGTTTCCCCTCTCCTCTCTAAGACAGTTATCTTAAGTAACTGTACAAGCATAGCTATGTGACTTGAAAATATTTTTCCATACTTAGAATAGTCTGCATTAAAATATTTGCCATTTTCTACAAAAGCCTTACTAGGACTTTGACTTTGGAAGAGGTGGTCTGTGTATTCTCAAAATAAGCAGCTCAGTTAGGTTTGTTCTATCTATAAAACTGTCGTGACACCGAGTGATTTCAGTGAAGTTCTAACTTGGGCAATGTTTTAAGGTTCATGGATTTTCAGACACTTATGCCGTGTGAAACTTTGGATATTAGTTGTTATCAGTACCGCATAGTTATTACTTGTGAAGTATAGTACTTATAGCTTTAAAATACATTCTGAACTACAGTCAAAATGTTGTAAAATAGTCAATTTTTTTAAGATGGGTAGCACAGATTCCCCACTATTGCTGTTTACACATGAAGTCCTGTACTGAATTTCAGACATGTACTTCTACACTGATTGTTCTTATGAGCCTTACCTTTAGATGACTAGCAAATAGCAAGATGATGTAATGCTAAGTATTATTAAAAATATTAATAAATCAATAGGATGCAAAATTGAGAAATCAGTTATCTGAAATAAGAATAGTAAGTACAATAATTGTAGATGAGCTGATTTGGGTGCTTCAGAAATGTCAGCACTTGTCAGAGTTACTATATTGTTGCAGTCAATTTATATAGGTAGCAGAGCATTAAAACATATTTTAATAAATGATTGTAACTGTTTTGTCCAGATGCATGCTTAGCTCAGGGGTTTTTTTTCCTTTCTGTGGTCAAATGATGTTCCTACTTATTTGGCAAACAGTAGGGAGGCTTTTTTAATGAATAACAGTAGTACTGAGGTTAGTATGAAAAGTTGCAGGAAATAGAAGTGGTTTTGTTTCTTCATTTACCCTGTCTTTTTCATATTGCTGTTACTTCCTGTCTCTTCATGGTTTTTGGAAAAAAAGTGTACATTTAACCCTGCAGCAAATTTTTATCACAAACCTTATGACATCAATAGGTTTGATTTTTTTTTTTTTTTTTGGTGCAATTTTATGCTGGGTGTAAACTTAAAGGATTTTTCTTGCGGAAAAATTGAACATGTAGTTTGACCATGGATCCAGTGAATAGAGAGAACCCTAAATTCCAATCTTCTTCAGTAAATATGGTGATTATCAAAGTTCTTAGAGCATCTAAGTGCTGTTGATTCACTGAGGAGTCAGGGAAGTTACAACATTGATTTTGCTACAACTTTAGCATCAGGCATTTTCTTTGTGTTTTTTAGGAAACCTATCTCCTCTGTAGAGTTTCAGAGTAGTAATGATTTAATAGAAGTTATTCCAAGTTCAAATCCTTGCTCTCAGACTGACACAGAAGAATCTTTTTTACTTATGAAGAATGGTTTTAAGGAAGACTCCACCCAAGACAAATATTTGAAGATCTATTATGCCACTGAATTTAAAGAACCACAACAAGGTAAAATGTTCAATTCGCTGCTTTCTGAGTTTTGGTTGAGTAATCTTGTTAACTTTTGTAATTTTTTGCACATGTTCCAGAAACATGAAATCATTTGAGTGTTCAAAAACTTTGCAGTTGCATAAGGTATAACCACTAAAGACAGATTTATTCCCTGGAGAAGCAACACTTGTTTTAATAGCTCAAGAGAGATGGCTTTCTGGGCTGGGAGTGCCCCTGGCTGGGTCATGCCCAGCCTCTCACACCCCCCAGTCCTGCTCACAGGGCTGCTCTTGATTTGTTCATTCCCCAGCTTGTGTTGATACAATATCATCTTTCTTGAAATCACAGTAATTTGCAACCTTTTTCTTAATTTGTTTTCTTTGTAGTTAGGGAACTCTAATTAGATTGAGAGGAGTGAGTGCATCATTTAAAATTGCAATGAGCTAAGTTTCTGGGCCAGAACCTACTTCAGAAGTTCCTTTTTCATACTTGAAAGTGCAAACGAGGAAAAAAAATTACCTTTTGTTTTTAACAGATGTTATATAAGGCAAAAGGAAAAGCTAAAGAAAACTAGAGGTTACCATGTGGGCCATAGAAGTCTAGACTTCGTTGCATTTTAAATGTTTTAAGATTTAAGTTTAAAGTAAAAAGCTTATTGTTTTGCTGACATTTATTGTATTCCAACAGTTGCTCAACAATTCTCTTTATTCTGATAATTCTTAGTATTTTTATCTTGTTTTATAATGTTTTTTCTTCTATTTTGTCAGATTTGTGTCTGGAAGAGGAGTTTGTTTTTATTGACAATCTTGAAAGTTTTCGTAAAAAAATGCCAAATTTATCTATACTTCTGAGCAGACTACAGTTTTTTTTAGTGAAAGATCCCCTTTTGGATTCTGAAGGACAGTTTTTAACAGCAGAGAATATTTTCAGGTACCTACAAATTTCTGTATAATATTAAACATAAAACATAGTCTGTGTATAATGCCATTAACATTTTTTTGTTTGTTATATTTTACCTTTGTAACTAGTTTATGTTTGCAACACGTAAAGACTTCAGCTTTTCATCTTAGGATAAAATGAGGAGGGTGAAATTTATATGCATTAAGACAACTGGATTAATGAAATTGTCATTCTTACATTCTATAGGTGTGAAATGCAATCAGGATATTAGTTTTGAAATACTAAAAAATGTGAAAAAATGTGCATCTTTAAGGGACTTAGTCCTTCTTCAAACTGACTGATTCCCTGCCATGAAAGTATCACTAAATTTAGTAGGGCTAGAATTTTACACATGCTTCCATGTTCCTTTTTTCTCTCCTCTCAGATGTGCTGCCAGTAAATCCATGCTCTTACCCTGTTGAATTGTATTTCTTCAAGTTCAAATATTATTTATTTTTATGGTTTTGCTCAGTTTTGTATTGCTAGGTTGATTGAATTTAATTGAATGATACCTATGTCATGAATTTGAACAAACCAGTGCATTTAAACAGGTATGCTGTATCAAAAATGGGCTTAGTGTTTTGTTAATATACTCATCATGTATATGCATTCATAAAGTCTGACTAAACATTTGTGCTGATTTACTTCATGTCTGAACTATTTGTATTGCTTCCTTTGCACTTGGAAGAGTTGCATGACTGACAGGCAAGGTAAAACAGGTTCTAACTGAACCAACTGTACCCATAGTAGAACAAGAAGGAATGGGGTTGTTTGCCTGTTTTTTCAAAGATGAGCCCAGTCTTGCAGTGAATCTTGGATGTAAGACTGTGTGAATGCTGTAAATATACAGTGAAAGAGGTGGGTATTGGATCATGAAGAGACCATCATCCAAATTCTATAAATGACTTTCAGAAATACCAGTAATTGGAGAGAAAAATGCTAATGTGAAGCTTTACAGAAATGGCTCTGACCTCCTGACCTGTGGTTGACTAGCAAAACCATGGACCTGTCCAAGGTGGGAGTCCAGATCTCCTAGTGCAGCACACAGGGAGATGCAATTACTGAAAGGGACTCAATTAGACAGACTTCAGCTTGAGTTAAAATTAATGAGCAGCCCAAGGCTGGACATAGAACAGTTTGTACTCTGCAATCTAAAATATTTCTTCGGAAGATAGTTGTGTGAGGGACTGATAAAGAAGTTACTCTCCTAACAAGTCACTACAAATTTAGTGCCTGTAATTAGCACAAACGCCTGATGAAGCGTTTTCTTTCTGCCTGACAAATCTTCATCCCTGTGCTGCATGTGTCCGTGCTTTACAATGCAAGTATTAGCTTCATTCCTGAGTTTTACTTCCAAGTGTTTTAAAGTTTTTCAGTTAAATCAGGAGCATACTTTTAGTTTTCACTTTAACTAGTAATAAGCACACTCTGCCTTCTTTCATGCTGAATCTTTCCTGAAAATAGGAACAAAAGGTAGCAAAAGATAAATAAGGCAAATAGATTACAGAGATTTTCTGTCTAGTAAAAAATTGTACATTGGAAGAAATTAGATCTGCAGCTTTTGCAGAAAGGACTTTTATATGAGGGGACTTTTGTGCTGGGAGGCTGAAGAATTATAATATGAAGGTTTTTTGATGTAACTGTTTAAGGCAAGCCCCAATATTAAGCAATTCTACTCTGCATATAATGAACTATTTCTTAAAAATTTTCTTTGGTTGATTACACAGATCAGTACAGCATCACTTGTAATTGCCTTCTTAGAAAAGGCATGGATTTAGAAATACGTCTGCCATGTATATGGCTATCAAAACTATTGCAAAGAGTTTCAGTTTTAGACATTAGGTGATACAGAGAAGTCACTTACTTTCTTTTATGATCTTTTAAAGAGAATGTTTGACTTTCCAAAATGGAATGAAGATGGAAGAAAGTCAAAATGATTTGCAGGGGATTAAAGAGAGTTTCTGTACTGTATCTATAAAAGATGAAGAGGTATCATACTGTTTTTTCATACTATATATTACATTAGTGATTATTCTCTGTTATGCGTGTGTGTTTGTTCACCTGCAAGTCATCTTACTGAGTTCTTTTCATATTTGCCAAATGTTTCGAGCTTTCATGTTTCCAATATTAGGAAACACTGACATTATTTGTGGGTTTCTAATTCTTGGATGCTGTTTTGAGGAATCTGTGCTCTGACAAGCTGTTTGTCCTGGTACCTGATGTGTTTGCAGTTTTATGTAGATACTTGTTACACTAAGAATAAAAATTAATTAGAACAGGAAGCCATGACATGAGCTTGGAAAAGGGAAGGCTGCAAGACATGTTCTGGGATTTGGAGGGCCAGATTGGCTTTTTTTTTTTAAAGAAGTCAAATGTACTTTTTGCTCCATTTTTCAAAATTTTAAAAAGCAGACTTTCAGTAAAATAAAGGAGGATTGTACTCGGTTGGGAACTGTAAATTAAGGCACAATTTTTGTGCTCTACTGACTCAATCTGAAGTTGTGTAACGTTGTATTTTACTCTGTATTGAGCAAAGCTTCATGTGTAAATGTCAAATGATTTCTCTCCTAAGAGTTCTTAAATTGGTTTAGGATAAAAGTTATTTGAAGATTTTAAGAAGCTTTGACTGTACAGTCATATGAAAGGAAATTTACTGGCCATTCTGTTGTGATTAATATTTTTTTCAGTATTTCCTGTTGCCTGTTGATTTAGAATTGAGCAAACCTAAGAGTGGCAGATCTGTGACAGTTCCATCATACTTGGAACTAAAGGAGGTGTTAAATTTAGCTCCAGTCACTGTAGATGATGAAGACCTTTGCAAACAAGTGATCAGAGAAGGTGAGGGTTGGTTTTTTTAAGTGCTTGACCTGATTTTCCTTTCATTTGAACACATTTAGCCCAGTCAAACTCTTTTATATTGAGTTCACTTAAAAATTACTTCACAGTTTATCAAATGAGAAGTTCTGTTGATGAACTAGGACCTAGATGAACTAGACGAACTAGAAATTTGTGTTACACCCAAATTTCTGGTATTAGACAGGTCACCTTTAGGGGTAGTAAATGACTTGCCATTTGACTCAGTCCAGGGCTGTGTTGTCATCTTTTACACAAAAGTAATATGAGCTGTGATTTGTGATATATAATCAATATAGCTATAATAATTTGGTGCTGTGCTCTCTAATATGTTTTTAAGTTTACTTTCAGAGACATCCCTAAGAAGATTATATGCAGAGCAGTCATACCATAAAAAATGCTTTTGTTGCATTGTAATTGCAAACACAAAAGCAGATTTCTGGGGGAAAATGGTTAAATATTTCCATGGATAGCAGGATTATTCTCAATGACAGTAATAGTTTCTTGAAAGGAATTTTCGAAAAATTACTGAATGCTTTCAGACTACTGATAAATATAACTTTGATGACAGTTGTTGACTAATGGATTGATTTGTATGACAGTATTTTGTTTAGTTAAAAGAAAAAGGCATTGCCTGAGGGTTGGGCTTTTTTAAAGTCAAAATAAATAATTTTCCACGTTTTTGGTGGACAGAAAGCAGCTCAAAGAAGGAGGCTTAATGCTTCTAAAGATGGCGGATGTGTGCTGAATTCTGTCTCATAGAACAGCAGTTTGAAGTAAACCAGTCTCTTACTGAAGACAGAAACAATACTTTAAAAGTGGATATTTCATTAAAACAGTTTTGTGTGCATTCCCCGATATATTTAGTATGTGTCATGTTTCAAGCTGAGATTGCAGAGATTTGAGGATTCCGTACATAAAAGTCAACCTATTGTGGGTGGTTTTGTTTTAGTCCTTTTTTGGTAGCAAAAGAATCTACGTACACATACCCTAGTAGCTTATATTTAGGCTACTTAGTTGCTCTGGAAATCATTGTAGTCATAAGATCTTGGGATAATTCAGATAGTGACTGCACAGTATTGGGGGGGGGATTTTTTTGTCACTTAAGGGACAAGACTGAGCACTGCTCTAATCAGTTAAAGCATCTGGGGCTACCAAGCGTGATTAATTTTTCATAACAATGTATCATGGAGTTTGAAGGTCTGACTGGGAAAATTAATAAATGGTTCGTTTATGGCTCCTTTTAAAATCTGTTTTCAGATCTCAAAGCAGAAATTACATGCAAAATAGAAATTTCCAAGTACTGTGCCATTCCACAAGAGATTTGCTCCAGTATTAGCACAAGTATGTTGGAATTCTGTGAGTCAGGTACGAAGATCTGTATAAATCAAGGGATAATATTTAAGATGAATTCTTCAAGTAGTTTCTCTAATATTCTATTTTTGGGAGAACATGTATCACACAGGTAAGAAGATTCACTTTGTGTAATCTATTCTTTTGTACCCACACCATAAGGAGGTAGAAGCGAGATGCTCCTTTGTAGAGCTTTATAGTCTAAACACATGCACCTTTACAATTCCTTCGTGTTGCATTTGGCTGTAAGCAATGTCTATAACTTTTGCACTTTATTAGATTTTTAGATCTTTTTATATCTAGCAACTCATCTACCGAGAGAGGGGAGATGAAAGTTAAGGCAGATTGATTAAAATTGTGGAGTCAAAGAGCACAGTTTAAAGTTTGTTGAAGTCTGATATAAATGCTTTCAAAAGAGGGTGGTGGAGAAACAATTCAGGTAACAGTGCTGTGTTTATAAATTCTAGAGACTGAAAACTCCTGTGCAGATATCCTGTTTTGCAAATGGCTCAGTAATTGTGTGTGATTGGGAAATTAGGCCAGAGCTGTTTTCTACAGAAATAAACTCCACCTGTTAAGTATGTGCTAATATGCATTGGATCCTTTCTTCTCCTGCACTGGAATCAGGAAATACACTCCGTGCGTCCACGTTTATTATGTTGAAAACCCAAGTCATGCTGTTTACACCATTGACCAGTGCTGAGCAGCTTTGGTGTCTCACTGCTCAACCTAGTCATCCAACCTTAGTTAAAGTTTTTTTGGGTTCCAGATGTAACCTTTCAAAATAATGTACAGTCTTTGCCAGACCTACTATATTCACAGCTAAATTCTGGCTGACTAAGCGAGGCAGGAAAATGGCTGTGCTGGTGACATTTTTCACCTTTCGTTTAATGTAGAAGAGCCTGCACAAAGAGTAACATTTACAAATAAATGTGATCTGAGCATGATGATGCATGTACATCTCATCCTCATGTATATCCTTTCTATGAAAAGATCTATCCATTGTTGCAGTGGACAGTAGCAGTATTATCCATCAGTGCTTGTTTACTTGATAGTTTTCCATACAGAAGTTATTAAAATACTCAAGAAATGTTGAGTTTTCTCCAGACCAAGACCTTTCTTATTGTCTTAGTTTCAACAAGTTTTAAATTTAGCTGATAGTTGTCCCCTGCAGACTAATAGTACTAATAGTACCATGCTTTAGATACTCTATTGTAGTGGAATTTTGGTTGGAACAATCATATCATTCAAAGTGTCTGATATAAAAGCTCAATGCAAACACACCAAGTTCCACCAAGATAAAGTTAAGCTTATTTTACATCTGGGGATTATTGTCTAGCATGATAAACTGTAATCTGTGTGTAGTCAGCTCCCTTGACTGCTCTTTACTTCTAAAGCTTACAAGCAGGAGGGGCTTAAGTGCAGTAGATCGGACTCTTGCCCTGTATGTAGTACTAAAAAATAGACTGTGATCTTCTTTAGGGTATTGTTCATTCTTCTGCAGTAGATGAGTGGTCAAGCCATCTTGAATTGTCTTTTAAAGAAAGTGGCTGCATTAGTCTTTATTACCAGTTGCTGTCTTGGGTCTGGTGTTGATCAAGCTGAATTCTATTGTTAGGCAGCCACAATCAGCTTCCATCTCTCTCTCTCTCTTTTTTCTTTTTTTTTTTCAGAATGGACTCAGGTCTGTAGGCTAGAGACCTACAAATGTGTGCAAGCATAGGTAACTAGAAGACTGTCAGGTACCTCAGCTGAAACCTGACACCCAATACTGACACCAATAGAAACTTGTGCTATCAAGCAGTCTTCTCTTTCTAATTAATTTTGCTCTTTATGAGTTACCAGAAGTGAAATATGTTTGCTTAAATTCAGTGAAGAAGCAGTCATAAGACTGAACATTCTTTCTGTAGTCACTGAGTTTGTTTAGAAAAGGCATTGAGAGACAAGGATAGTTCTCTGAGTCAGCAATGTTCTGAGAAGGGAATGTTACTCTGGGTGTAGGCAGAGTTTAACTAATGTAGCTGATAAAGAATTCCAGTCTCAAAGGCATAAATAACTAGACAAGAACAAATATTAATAGTATTGCTCAAAGAGAAAGAATAGTTCTTTTTAGATACAGCAGGTATTTTTGCTGTCCTGAGACAGCAAAAATATTTTCTGTCTTGTTCAAAGTAAAGTCCTAAAATTGTCACTCCTCACAAAAACTGGTTTGTGAGCTGAAGTTCACAGCATGAGTTCATTGAACCTTTTTTGTTCTAAGTGGAAAAGAAGTTACACTGACTGGAAGTGTGTTGTTTTATTTTGTACCCACTTTAATTTCTTACTTTTTTTCCCTGTTTTTCTGATATGTTTATGTCCTCTGGCTTTCTATCACTGTTCCTTACCCTTCCTGCCTAACAATCAGCTTGTTAGGTCCTTCAAGGAGAAGCTGTGAGCAGCTGGACAGGTGACTGATTCATAGGCTTCTTTGTGCCCATTGTCCAGGCAATGTGGGTGTGATGGTTGCATCTACTTGCTGCCTGGTAGAAGGAACAGGGAATTCATTATAAGTGTTTTTCCTTGTGGAGGTGCCGATTTATTCACAATTTTTAGTTTTCACAGAACATGGAACGACTGTGGTTTTTCTGGTTTCTACTTTTGGATTAGTAGAATGCTGTAGAAACTAATACCAAGGCAATCATGTGAACCACCAAAATCAATGAAGTTGCAAATTTGTAATAAGACTTGAATAAAACCCGGTAATCATTAATATGTCCACATTTAATATAATAGGGAGGAAGAAATAAAAAATGTTCAAAATTATTTGTAGAAGACTTTTAACATGCCAGGTTTTTTGTATACTGCTTTAAAAAAAAGAAACAACCAAAACCAAAAACTGGTGTTGTAATTAATTTCAGTGATCTCCCTAGAAATTTCAATGAGAACTAATTCTGCTTGAAAGAGTATTTTTTTTTTCATTAAAATCCTGACTGCTTTTGAAGTTCCTGAGGCTTTTCTTACAGCAACCACAATATTGCCTATAGTGTCTCTCACACTTAATTAACTTCATTTATGGATAAAATTCAAAATCTCAGCTGTGATACCTGGTGATTTAATTATAAAAATAATCTTATCTGTGAAGCATATGTACCCAGAACTACATCAAGGAATGTGATCTACAATTGTTTCCCCAAACTGTCTGGAAATTGTATGTGTGGGGCATATAGCTTATTGAATTGTCCCATGAAAATATTGTCTATTTTAATCCAGAACTTCACTTGTGTAAGATTCATAAGCATGTATATTTCATTCACAAGTAGCTTTGTGATTTTGATTTTTATTTTTGTTTTGGCTGGGGCTTTATGCAATTTCCAGCTGAATACATTCCATATTTGAAAGATGAAATGGAAGTGCCTTTAACTCCTCCATGCAGACAACAAAGATCATGGGTTAATTTTCTGTGCAGAGGACTTCAAGAAGAACCTATTTCTCTCTCTGGTAACAGGTAATGAAACCTTGGTAGTGACAAATTCTGTCATGAATCCTCAAAATTAATGAAAAAATAACTTCACTGTATTTATGAATTGGTACTTACTTACATTCTTTGAGCTGCAAATATATTTTATTTTGTGTGAAAGAGTGATGAAATGCACAGTCTATATGTGTGGTTTTCTAGAGGCATCTGAAAAAGGAAAGAAAGTTGCTTCCATAGTCCTCTTTCTCTGGGAGGATTTTATAGCCTGAAAATCCAGTCTTGTTTTTGCAGTAGGCAACAGTAAATATTTAAAGTATTTAGCTAGTGTATGTATGGGCATATGCATGTATTTATGCTTATGGCAAGCACATATGTTGCACAAGGATCACCTGCAAAATGTCCAGAAGAGATATAGTAAGAAAGTATTGTCTGTTTCAGGGATACCCTCCAACACTAGATTTCAGGCCTTTTCATGCCAATATAGGATTAGGATTGCTCCCTCTTTTCCTTCTCATCTTATTTGAGACTAGCGTTTCTTGCCTTGCTATCTTTTTAGCACATGCAGGAAGAATTTCAATATCCCTTTGGGATGGGAGCCACAGTCTAGACAGAGTTTTCACTCAGTGCTCCTTTACTTCATGACCCAACCTTGATGGCTCCTCCACTTACTCTTTCCTATCATCCTCCGTATGGATAGGAAAAAAAAATTCAGGAATGAGTGAATGAATGAATGAACTGAAAATTTAAAGACAAAGTATATATCTTTAAAAGTATATCTATATAAATCAAAATTCAACAGATAATGCTGCTAAATTTCATACCTGCACATTTTTTTATGTTCTTCATAGTATTTTGATTGCAGAGCCCTCTAGGGAATTCTTAGAATCTTTGGTATGGCAATCAGAGAAGTATCGGGATAATATGAGCTCTCTTTTGCTTGTCGGTAAGGATTCTAATCGATGACCAATTTCTAACTGATGTTTATAAGTTCCATGTACGTGCAGAAATATAGCAGAAAATATAATGTTATATTACAGAGCATATACTTGAGCAATTGAAGTTTATTCAGTTACTGTAACCCTGTGAAGTTTTGTGATTATTTTAGTACTTACAAGAAGTTAGAGTATGGCAACACAGAAGTTGAAATACCATGTATCCTTCTATGGCAATAATTTGAATTAAGCAAGAGTTTTATTTTTTTATGACAGTGTTCACTACTGTTATATGAAATAACTTATAGTTGAAATTTGGTAATCTGTTTAACTCATTCCTGTGTGGTATTTTCCTATAAATAATGTTTCAAAATATGTAGCAACCAATACAATACTACTGTTAATGGAAAATAATATTGTAACTTCACAAGAGTAGAAGAGAAGCAGAATACACAAAACCAAAACAAGCTGCAGGCTATTCATGAAAGTGCCAGAATATATATTACTACTATTCTTTCATTTCACTTTATTTGCCTTCATTTTACAAGTCTCAGGATTAAGTTCTGTATATTGACTTGTTTTGTTGTCCAATTCATTTGTACTTTGACTTATAATTGAAAATAATGTATGGTATGCTCATTACTGTTTCAGTTAATTTTTTTCAGCTAAGGATATGATAAGTCTTTGTAACCATGACAATAACCTACTGATAATTAACAAGATAATTTGTAACTTTAGTAATGCAGCTACACATTATTAGATTTGAAAAAAAATTGAAACCCTCACCCTTTCTACTCACAGAACTCAGAAAAGCACACTTCCTCTGATAGTGTTAACCACTTTGCTCTTAAATCTATTGATGGACACAGAGTTACAAAAGGAAGTATGAATAACAGATACATGTAATAGGCCAGGAGTACTTGGGAGCTTTCATTTCAAAAAGGACATTCTGTTTTCATCTTTCTGGTTTATTGATATTATGTGTTAATTTCTGGTTCTTTTGTAGAGCATCCAGCTGTTAACCTTGCACATCAGCATCATTCACTGAGAGAGCTGAAGAAAAAACTGCTGCTTGAGGTTGAAGCACCAATGCTTGGCTCACTAGAGGAGGGCTGGTGGCTTCATAGAGTTTTAAATCCAGCAGCTGTAGAAATTTTGGAACAATTCAATATGGATGGAAGTAATGCAAACAGTCTACTTCCAACAGAAGTAGAAACATTCACACAATTTACAACATATAAATTAGAAAGTAAGTATCCTCTTTTTTAAAATAAGTGATAGAAAGGCAAAGATTGGTACTTAAACAGAGAATCATGCAGGGAGTTACAGATCTCCAAGAACAAAGGAAATTAATTTTTTCTTATTCTTAAGAACAAAATGTTTTACATTAAAATGAAGGAAGGACACTACTGCATTTAAGGTGTACTTTCACTAACTTAGAAGAAATTGGAGAAAGAAAAGTGTTGAGCTACACAAAGTCATTTTTTTTCTGTTACTGTGCAGATGAAGAATACCCTCCACCAGTCATTTTTTAATAAAATAGTTTCATTCAGGATAATTTCTTAAGTAGTAGTAGTTTTGCTTTGAAATATTTTAATAAAGCAGATATTCACATAGTCCTACCTGTACAAGGTCAGTGGGGGGAGTATGTTAGAGTGAAAATTCCTTATTTTGTGAGGCTGTAGAGGGGTTATTTTATGCAGACTATTTCAAATTTGAACAGCTCATCACTTCAGAATTTTTCATGGACATTTTTGCATACTTGTAATCAAACTTCAACAAAAAAAGCAAAAAGTTATTCAGATTTTGTTGTATAACTATGGCTAGACTGCAAGGCACCAGCTGTGGTTGTAGAACTCCAAGGATTGACAGTAACATGATATATTGTGAAACATGTAGATACTGCTCATGCAGGAACATTTCCAATTAACTGCTTTTTACATTCTTTAATTGTTTAGCTACTGTATTTCAGATGGATGTGCAGCCACGGTACAAAAAAGTCGTAGTTCTAGTGAAGCATATCTTCAGAGGGAACTGTTTGCGTTCTTCTTTTTTCTCTCTAGGAAACAAAAATTGACAATTTTTCTTCTTAATGAAATGTATTTCATCTCACTTTCTAGAAATCTAACATCAGTAAATTCCATGTAGATGGTGAAAACTTCAAACAATAGCCTTGCCTTCTGTATCTTAATACTGTGCATTTTACTTAGAACTAGTCAGTGCAAGTTTTCTGAAAAGGGATCCTAGTGATCTGAGAAGGCGCAAAGAAGAAGTTTCTAAAAATACCTTGTCTTTAAATCACCCAAAGTCCTTAATTCCAATGAGGAAAAAGAAAAGAAAAAAATCTGTGTCGTAGCACATAAATTAAATTGTATTTTTTAGGATGGCTTGAGGAGAAGAATTGTGTGACAAACCAAGAGCTGCTTTCTGCTGAAGGACATTCATCAGAGAAAGTAGTTAATCCTGACTTGTCACTGCAGATTCAAAGGCAGAACTTTGCTGTGAGTGCTCTGTCACCTGCCAAAATTCACAGTACAAATACATCTGTAGCAGAGCTTACTGGAGGAAGCATAAGCAAGATTAAGACAGAAGAGGCAATTTACTTCTTAAACCAAGAAAAGAAAACCCCCGAACCATTTGAATCAGACAGCTGTAAAGATGTGTCTTCTAAACTAGACAAATCATCCTGTAGTGGAAAGCCTGCATCTCTTGCACTTGCTTCTAAATGGGCCAACGATGATTCTGATCTGAACAACTTCATTATGATGAGATCTAAATATACAGTCACCCAAAGAGAGGACAAATATTATGTAGATAGGCCTGAAAAAGGTATGTGAACCAGTGTAATCTGCCATTTTATCCAGATTAAATTCTTCTCCATTTCACCAGTTACAACAGATGCTAGTTCATCCTAGTGAATTATTTGAAGTAAATTGGCAACATTTTTGTGGTCTTAAATGTAACTGAATTTTTAGCTAAGTATCTTACCTTTTGTTGTTTTCCCTTAGATATATTAGAGGATTTTGGTTGGTTGGTTGGTTTACTTGGGATGAGCTGGGGGCGGGGGTGCGATTTTTTTTGTTGAGAGTGATATTTCATAAAATAAATATTTGAGTTCATTCCTATTCTGACCAAGTAACTGTAAATGGTACTTAATTCTGAAGATCTGTTCCATCCATATGTTCTAAATTTGATCTCTTGGCCACTTGGAGAAGTAGTAATCCTCAAATTCATTGTAGTTGTCAGATGGCAAATATCAGTACTCACTTCTGTAGCCTAGGAAATGAACAGGAATTGTTCATTGGAGCTATTGACGTTGGTGCAAACCCCATCAATTCATCAAACAATGCACCAGACCAGATATTAGGGAAAACAGAAAATTGTTGGTAGCCTGTTCTTGTTGATGGCAGTACTTGGAAAAGAATATCATATTATGTGCTCAGCATTGAAGGAGTGCAAAATAGCAGAGAGGTAAAAAAAAGTAGAACTTTCTTGTTTGGTTTTTAAAAGAATTCTCTGTGACATAAAGTGGCAGGTAACAGTGGCATACCTCCAAATTCACTTTTCAGAATGTAATTATATGTAAAAAAAAATTTGATAAACTTTTTGGACTTGTATGAGAGAATTTTTACAATAACTTTTATCTGTGTTTTAGTTAAATGTCCTAGCATTAACCAAAACCAAACAGTTGTTACATAAAAGCCTCAGCAATACTTCCTGTAGAGTTGGGATGTTTGTTTAATTGCAAGCTTATGAAATCTTTTGGGAGTAAATTTTTTTTTTTGTAAAATTCATGTGTTTCTGACTCTGTCGAAGATGCATAAAACTTTTCATGGCGTCAGAAAGCAATAATTCAAATTTTAGAAGTAAGAGACCGAGGTACCTGAAGTTTTATGCTGCCCTCTAGTGGACCCTGACCAGCACTGCATCGGCCAACGAGGAATCCAGGCGTATTGAAAGACAAGTTGTCACCTTCTCGAGTAGGCTTGGGAGGGTTTAAGAAGATTCAGTGCAGATTAAGATATGTGTACAGGTAGTCCACGGTGTGCGGATCAGTTACGCCTGACATGTAGAGAAGCCACAGGGGGACTGTGATGAGCCACATCCATGTAGAAATTATATAAAACATAGCATCCTTTCGCAATAAAGAAAAGTTTTTATCAAGGGTCATTCTAACTCTAACTGAAAAGTAGAAAGGCCAGAGGTGCCTGTAAGGCCTCTTCGTTGTTTTAATTATTTTTTTAAAGATATCATTTTGTGTAATGTTTAGAAAATATGCAGGAGGGAAATAGTAGAAACAACTCAGTGATCCAGTTTTGAACCCCAGACATCTTTTCAAAATAAGGCAAATTATCTAAGTTAACTAGAATAAAAATTCAGTTTTTCTTTGCCTTTTGTCTCTGTATTATTAGTTTATTTGCTGAGGGAAGTGGCCTTCTTAAGTAGAAAAGTCAATAATATTTAAGAATATCCTTATTCGATAAGAACCGCTCTCACAGAAAAATAATCAGAAATAAAGATAAGAGGCTTTGTGGCCAGAAGTTGAAGCTCATGTGTTTGTATGTATCAAGAAGAAGGAAGGCTACTTAGAAATATTAACTAGTTGCAAAAGATAGCTAGATGAAAGGAGAAAAATTATTTTCAATATGCAATTCTTTTTATCTTTTTTTTTTTCTATTTGCAACTTCTGTGTTCTTTCCCCGTGGCTTAAAGTATCTAAACTTTTCTACTCACACTCACTGGTGTGCTTTTCATACTTGGAGCTCCTTATGGTCAGCAGCATATTTTCTGTCATGCATTTTTTCTCCATATAAAGGTAGATGAGGTTTCCTATGGAACTATATTATAGACCAGTAGTACCAGCTCCTTGACTTTCCCAGGTCTGTATTTCTGCTCTTAGGAAGAGCAATCTGATAATGCTTAACTTCTTGGGCTGTGAAGGCTGAGAGGGCCTAACCTGTTTTTGCATCTTGTGGATTTTTGTACTGTATAAGTCCAGGAAAACAATAAAGAATTCATAAAGAGAAAATGTGTGTTTCCCAAAAACAACTTCATTTGAATTTTTTTTTTCATGTAGAGTAATTTATAGAGCAGTTTTCTTATTTATTGAGCTGGTTTTGTGGTTAGCTAAATATTCACTTGTGGTTTCATTATTTAGGGGTACAGCCTGAAGATCAGCATATCAATATTCTCAAAGAGGACAATTCTTTTTGTGAGACTGTAAAAACGGAGGAAAACACCCAAGAGAATAAAGACAGTATCACTATCAATATTCAGCCATCAGGTATACACTGTTTTTAGAACTGTTTTACCTTCTCCCAGGTAATAAGTGACAGGACAGAGGAAATGGCATCAAGCTGCACCAGATGAGGTTTAGATTGGAAATTGGGGAAACTTTGTCATTGGAAAGGTAATCAGGCATTGGAACTGGCTTCCCGAGGTAGTGGTAGACCCACCAGCCCTGGCAGTGTTCAAAAAAACTGAGTATGTGGCACTTGAGGACTTGGGTTAGTGGTGAACATGGTGATGCTCGGTTAGCAGTTGAGCTCAATGATCTTACTTATTCTATGATTCTATGTAGTTTTGTAGTAGAATTTTATATAAAATAGTAGTGCTCAGACAAATACAGAAATTATTAGACTTAGTCTCTTCTCTTTGTGGCTGGAAGTATTACAAGTAGACAGATATTTATTTGGCACAGAGATGAGAACAGGCTATGGAGCTCCATCTTAAGACTAAAGCCAATTGTATGCATGGAAAAAAAAGTAACTGAGACTTAGAGTAATGTCTGGTCAAAATTAGCAGACATGAAATCTCTTAATACCATTTAGTACTTTCCATTTATTATTTTGCACATTTTTGTCTAAGTAAATGGGAAATGGGGATGGAAGAGATCAGTAGTCATTTTGATAGGAAAGGTCTTTACCACAGTAGAAATCAACAAGGGATTTATCTCAGATATGACTGGGCCTTACCCCTTGAACTCTGGTTGTTGTATGAGGCATTGTATCAAAGAACATAACTGACAACGCTTTTTTCATGTAGTAGAAATGGTAGAGGAGAACCTAGAAAATATTTATCCAAGCTATATACATAACCAGCCCTAGGAAGTTGTAGGCCTAGCAGAGATTAGTTTGGTTTTCTGAGAAATGCATTCATTTGAGCCATGTGCTTAATAGAATTTTCTTTCACAGTGCCAGTGAAAGAGTAGAATGGTCTTTTCGTCTGTTCACTTCTGAGATGGGAATCACAGCTTTAAGCTTATTTTTGAATTTTTTTTTTTTTTAATTTTGAAGCAAAATTCCTTTAATGCAACAGGAGAGGGAAATTAAAGCATTTCTGCAGTCGAAACAAAAATCAGCATTTCAAAAATTACTGTGATGTAGAAACAGGCTGCTGTAGAACAACTGAATAGTAGAACAATCTTAGTGTGGGTCACAGGAGTAAAAAATTCTAGCTTCTCCTCATGGAGTTTCATCATGTTATCAAATGCAATGTGGTTACCTGCTGTGAGGATGAGCTGATTGATACACTCAGGAGAGCCTGTGGCAAGTTAACTTCTTTCCATTAATGTTGCAGCTTGCCTGAACAAGATAAAGTTGTTAATGTTTTCCTCGGTCTTTTTAATATTCATGTCCAGTAGTGGTATGTGAAACCAGACTTCATTATTATGTTTTGTTCATTGTGTTATCCAGAAAGCCAATGCCAGGCATACTGCCTCTTGGAAGAAGCAGCTATTCCTGTACTAAAAGATTTGACACACCTGGGTGTACTTGCTTCTGTTACTTGGAGCTTTGACAGTGTTAAAATTGATCATACAAGGTTTTTCTTGAAACAACAAGAGAAAGTGATATATGATAATTTTAAACAAGGTATGTCTTTAAAACATCTGTTCTTCTTTGAAACTAATTCAGACTTAATTGGTGAGACAAGGTCAAGATGTTTTATAAATTAATGGTAAATCTTTTAACAGTTTATCTTATAGAGTTACAACTGATTTCCTCTTTTATTTCAAAAATGTCTCATTGTTCAACATTACATTTATTAACTTCAATATTGCAATACAGAATTATTCTAATTGGATTTAAATTTAAAATATTTTACATGTGCTTCAGAAATATATGGCAAAAATATAGCAAACAATGTTCTTTTTTTTTTTTTACACCTGCATAATGCCAAACACTGTCTGTGTTAGAAATCAGGAGAAAAAAAATCTATTATACTTTGGTTTCCTTCTGACTTCATTTCTCTCATATGCAGCATGTGAAAGCCCTATAAAAACAGAAAACTTAGAAGGAAAGTCATCAAAGTTAGTGACTCCTTACAAAGATTTTTGACTGTAAAGAGAGTCAGGAAAACTTCATAACAAAATAGAGACTGATCTGAGGAACATTAGGAAGTTACTTGGTATTTTGTGCTATTTCTTGAGTTGTACAGCTCATAGTTGAGAACTAGTTGTAAGGATAACATAGTAGGCAGTCTACTACATGCCAAGTTTCCATATTATGTCACAAATTATGCAATAAACTCTTGATGTCTCAATTTCATTATTTTCTGTGTTGAATGTATTTTTCTCAAAGAAAACATTAACAACCATGAAACCACAAATGAGAAGGAAAGCAAAAAGAAACTGTAGTTGGCCCTACAGAATGACAGACTGATGATTTATGGAATTATCATATTAAAATTAGCAGCAGCAGTGTTCTTTTAATGTGAAGGAGTTTACAAAATAGCAAACATCATCTTCACAAACAAGAGAGATAAACATGGTATCTATATCTGTATCAGTGAATCACAGAAAGGAAAACATTAGTGAGAAAAGTGTACAGAGAATTACTACTGCTTCTCTGAATCAAGGAAAAGAATATGTCTGCATTTCAATTCAAGATTAATCTAAGAAAACTTACATCCTCTCAAACACAGTGTACATGCTATAGAAATTGCATTTTTCCCCAGCTAAAGCAGCAGAAAGTAAGAACTTTCTTGCTGGAAGATCCACAGAAACAAGAGAGAAAATATCCAATTCATTCCTAATGAATATTTCTCTGTCTCTGTACGAGATACAAAAATCTCCCTAGTAATGTACTTCTTTTATTTCCTTCCTGGTTTTAAATAGTTTCACAATATCCAGTCTTATTCCACTTTCCTCCAGACTATGCTGATGTATTTGTTCCTTAATCCCTGGGTGGACATAGAAAACAATCACTTACTGGGATGGTAGTGATCTGTTAGCAGATTACTATTCCCCTGCTGGTCTTTTATGCATCAAATATCACCAAGTGCTCCAGTCTTTCATCATAAAATGGTTTCTTACTGTGTTCTGTTGTTTCTAAATGACCTGTATTCCTCACTGATTGGTGTAAGGAGTTGGATATAGTCCTTCACTAACAGAGCTGGACATTAAGTTTCCATCTTTTGATGCAGAATAGTTGCGATATCTTTCATGCAGTTTCCAGCTAAGTCCTTCTGTATGCTGTGTCCTTAAGTTGATTTTTCCTTCCCAAGTGTGTTGCTTGTATTTTTGAATTAAAAGTTATGTTAATCCCAGTACACAGAAGTAGCTACTATTTTTCTCCTAGAATGCACCTTCAGCTGTAGTAATTTATTCATTGATTATCTTCCTCAACCTTTTTAAGCAATTTGAAGTATGTGTTTTGTTATGAAGCACACTTACTCTGTAGTTGTGTTTTCAAAAATTTCTGGTTTATAATGATGAACTGCACAATTAACTGTGTGCAATTTTCAAAAATACCTTCTGCCTTCAGACTAGAAATTCCTGCCTCTTCAGTCAAGTCCTATAATATATATTCAAAATGAACACACAATACAGAATAGGAAGCCCATAAATTTGTTTGAAGTGTTTGGGGTTAAGAAGGAGCAAGTGTCATTCAGATTTACCTTTTTGAGGGTGAAGATTCTCGTAATGAGATGTTAATTAAGTGCAAAGAATTGCCACACTAAAATCAGTAAAGCAATGTAGTTTTAATGACATGCCCAGGGGACCTGTTACCTCCTCCTCCAGCAAGCACCATCTATCTGTACACACCTTTCCAAAACACTGACCTGTGTGCCACTTGCCCTGGATCGCATGACCTGGGAAATGTTATGCTACATCTTAAGCTATTTGGCAAAACCACCAGATCTGAAGGTTAAGCTTTGAAGGTTATCTATATTCAAGTGTGTTTAATGAAAATACCAGGATCTTTTAAGCTGACTACATATATATACATATAAAATGTGAGTTCTGCCATCTTTTGTAGACCACACCTCTGTCTTCTATTTGTAAAGGTAAAGTAGACGAGAAGGAGATCCTGCTGTTCAGACATGCTGCTCTGGTGCACGTGCTGGTGACAGTTCGAGATCTGCTACTAACATGTGGCTGGGATACAGCTCTAGGTATGTTTTCAGTCCTGAATAATGATACCCAGAAACCCAAAGCTTTGTGTTCATTCTGCAGACAATCCCTCATGTTTTTAGCTCTGACTCTTTACCATCAGGGCATATGCTCAGTTCATGACTACTAGAGTGCTGTTTGTTATTCCATTTGTTAACAGCTTTCACATATATAATATGTCTTGTATCTCAGAATGACAAATTTTCATTGGAATCTCTATGTGGAAACTGAGGAATATGCAAAAGTCAAGTCCTTTTCTATTTACCATCTATCTTTTGTGAATGTGGGACACATTCCACATAAAATAGTTAGGCTCCATGGAAGTGAGCTACTCAAATCTGAGAGCATTTTAAGCAAAATCTTAAATGTTATTTAATGTGTCAGAAGGAAAGAGTTTTGATCTTCCAACACTGGACTTATATAGAAGCTTTTTTTTGAGCTTTTTTGGTCTTATTCAAATTTGGAATATGGCAATCCATTGTAACCCAGTTTAATGCCTGAAATGATAATGCTGAGCTTGTCAAATTCCTATAGGTGTGCTTTGAATTTTCAAATATCTCTGTCATGATAGGTCTACAAGATGTTGAAGTGAGTGTTTATGAATGCCCTAGGAAAGTCAGACTCCTTCTGTCTTTATAGGAGATAAAGTTGCTTCACAGCATCTACCTTCAGTCTGAACTATCCCTTGATGGAAGGTGTTTCCTTAATATTGATGAAAAATGTAAAACATCTGCCATAAACTGAACTGTAGGAGGAAATACTTTGTATTTTCTTAAATATTTCTAGCAATAAAAGAGTAGGAAGAAGAATACAGAATGAATATATAAGTAGAAGCCTAAGTACAATTCTTTTCCATCATTACTATAAACAATATAGTGGGATGGGAGGAAGAAAAATGAGCAGTTCTTCCTCTACCCTTTATGTAGCAGAAGCACTCCTAGATGATATTTCAGAGTTGCAAAAGCACCTGTGTTTCCAAACCTGAGGAACAGCTCACATAGGAAATTGTACAAGTAAAAAAATTAGAAAATTGAGTGAGATACTAAGTAGGCCTTGTAGTCTTCACTGTTATGTTGTTGTGCTGTGTGATTCATCGTGTAGTTATATTGGATGTATTTTTTCTTTATGCCTTTTCAGATAACCCCAGCATCGTTCACCATTTATACACAGAAGGCACTATTCAGAGTTGAGAGTAGTTGTGATAATATGGAGAGTGGTAAACACACAGGACAAACAAGCTTTAGACAACAGTGATAGAAATACTGTTGTTACTCAGTGTAAACAATACAGATTAGTTAAGTATAGCAGTGTTACTGCTCGCATCTGCAGCTTTAGGATGCAATCTTATATAATTCTGTCTGGAGTTACATAGCAGATACTACATAAAGTACAGCAGTTTTATAAACATCATTTATGTACCGGTGGTCATATTTTCCTTCCATGCTGTGGAGCCATTAACATTTCATCTGTTTTTGTGCAAGATACCTTCACATAGATTTTAAATTGATATGCAGATTGAACACAATGCTTGACAATTACCTTTTGTCACTCCATTTACTTCTTTTGTTGCTTTATTAACAGGTTATTTGTCCAAGGCAAAGGATATCTACAAAAACATTTTAGAATCCTGTTTGAATAATATCTGGAGGCAGCTGAAGATTGTACAGTACAGTAGCCAGAAAAAGCATGAAACTCATCCCAAAATAACAGCACTTCAGTGTGAAATGTTAAATTGGATGAAAAGTTGTGGAGAGAAACACAGTGTTAAGGTTAACAAAGTAACCAATTTCTCTTAACAAACAAAATTGTTCCAGATTACATGACTAATTGCAAGATGGTGTTTGAACAAAGGTTCATTTATGAAAATAAGTCTAATAATTACCTCATGGTATCTATTAAATAAGGCTAAATAACTTTTTAGAACTCTGTCACAGCAGTACAAGTTTTTGTTTGATCAAATCTCCTTTTGTTCCATGCCTGAAATAACATGCAAAAGAGTTTTAGCATTGCCAGCGCTTTATCTTGTTGCAGGTGGTTTTGTTTTCCTGATAAGTTTATTGTTTATTGTATCAGTTACATCAGTTACTGAAAATTATAATATAGTCTTTTGTTGAAAGCCTCATTCATCTGGCATAGACAGAGTCGTAGTGCAAGTCATGGTTGTGTGCTTTCATGGCATGATGTGGAGCACACATACGATAACCTCTCCTTAACTAGTGTATCTGGCCAAGCTCCTGGCATTTGAATGATACAAGAAGGAAATATCTGTGAGTGAAAGCTTTGGCATGGAAGAGAGAGTTTTGGAGGATATTCAAATTACCCAAAGATTCTCTCTCCTGGACGTGTGAATATTTTGGGAATTATGACACAATGCCAAATACCACCTTCCTTTGCAGAATATTTATTATTTCTTTACAGAAAACTAATCACATTAAGAAACAGGATGAAATGCATAGTGTTTAAAGGGTTCTAACTGTTTGGAATAGAATTTATGATCCTAAATGCAGCCAAAAAAGATCTTTAAGTTCATTTTAGCTTATTTCCATACTTCACTTCCTGAGGATTTATTCTTCTTGTGTTTAAGAGTTGCACTTGGAGCTCTGAATATCTTTTGATTAAGTTTTGCTGAGAAGAACAATATAACAACTTATAATACACCCTTTTTGAATTTAAAATTAAAATGAAGCAACAAAAATAAAATGGTGCTGATTATCTTGTTGTCTGTCCTTCAACAGACACACTAAGATGATTTTGCATCCTTTTTGTCATCTTAAGAGCAGCACATTTTGCTTTGTGATACTAGGATTATGTTGTAGTAGGAGGTGTATGAGAACTTGATGTCATTTTGAAGTCAGCTCAGTGGCAATTTGGCTTTTCTTCTGAACTCCACTAAACATGATTTTTTAAATTTTTTAGCTATAACTCCTGAGTTTTGATTTGTTTGCTTGACTTAGTCATACAGTGATATGCATGCAATATAATGCCAAATATGATTTTATTCACAATTACTAATTTTTTCCCGTTTCCCAGCATTTAGAGACAGGTTATAATGAGCCAGACTAGGTAGAAGGAGTATTCCAGTTCAAATAAAGTAAAAGTTGTATTCCACGAACTATTTACTGTTCTATCATATCACATCACATTTCCATTAATATGGTGTGAAATAGGATAGTTTCATTATCCTTTTATTAGCCAAAGTTGTTATTGATGCAGGATTGTAATGGGACATTTCCTCTGTAAAGAAGAAGTTACTGCTGGTTTAGAAAAAAAAAATTTGCTCTTTGTTTCATTATCTTTTGTACTTATGATTAGATAGAAAATGACTAAAAATTTCATCTGGCTCACAGGAACATATGATTAGTCTGCTGTTGAATTGTGTGTGGAAAAGCAGGTCTACATTTTTAAATGCAGTTGTCCAAAACTGCTTATAAAGATGCCAGTGGATTGTTGAGTGGCTCTTCTGTGCATCTGCTTATGGAAATTGAAATCTGCCTCTGTCTCTCTGACCAGAAGTCCTTTTCTGACAAGATCTAACATGCTTTTGATATTTACACTTACCATTACCTTATGACTGTAAATCTTAAGAGTCACACAATGTTATGTGCCTTCTTTAAAATCTGTATCTTGTGTACAACATGAAAAGTATCTGTGCAATGGCAAAAAAGTTCAGAGAGCATCCTGTTGGAAAGTATGGTGATGTATTTAGGTTCATATTCTTCTTTATAGACTTAGGGTAGCATGTGTTTAGTTTGTATCAGTTAAAATGATGGACAAGGTAAACACCTTCTCTGATGGGGATTCTTTTTAAGACTGTGTCAGTTTGGTAGATTCTAATTCTTTTCAACATTTTTGTGTTCAGCAATATTCAATGAGTTCCAGATCTCTGGCAGAAACACTTTTGTGACTCCATCTGCATATTGGAAGATCTTTCTAACCAGTTCAGCAGTACATCCAGTTACATAAGTACCTTGCAGGCTGAATTCTAGTATCTTCAGATTAAGTTCTGTCTCCATGAGGATGATTTTTCTAATGTGACAGATCTGTCTAGTACAATAGTCATAATGGGGTATAATATCTTTAGATAGTGTCTATAACTAGCATTCTTTTTGAATTCAGGAGCAAGTCAAATCAAAAGCCAAGCAAGCAAGGCGGAAGCCTGGCCTGCCTGAGAAGGGATTTTCTAGAATTTAGGTAGAAAAGGAATGTGTATGGTCTTGGGATGTCACTTATGAGTTGGTGACTTTAAAGGGGACTGTCCACTCCTGTAGGGAGAAAATTTATATGGCCAAAGCTCAGTTGAAGTTCAAGCTGGCCAACACTGTGAAGAATGACAAAAAGGGCTTTTTAAATAAGTCAAGAGCAAAATAAGAACAGAGGCAACGTCATCAACTCTCAACACAGTTGGTCACCTCAAAATTGGGACGTAGACAAAGCAGAGACATTCAGTGCCTTCTTTTGCCTCTGTCTTCAATCCCCAGAGCCCAGTGTTAGAAGACTGTGACTAAGGATAATGTTGAACTCCCAGCGACTCCTGAGCTTATTTGAGACTTGCTGCTCCATCTAGATGTGCACAGATAGAGCAGTGAGGTTCATCCCATGGTACTGAAGTAGCTCAAAAATGTCATTATGGGAACTCTTTCCATTATTTTTCAAGTGTCTTGGGAGTCTGGAGAGATCCCAGCTTATTGAAAGATGCTAAATGTTGTTTCAGTTTTCAAGAAGAGAAAGAAGGAAGTCTCTGGTAATTACAGACTTGTCTGTCCCACTTCAGTGCCTGTTAAAATCATAGAAAAGTTTATTCTGGGAGTTACTGAAAAATGCTTGAGAAACAATGCAGTCATTGGCCATCACCAGCACAGGGTCACAAGAGAAAAGTGCCACTTAACCAACTAAATTTCCTTTCTTTTCCCACTTATGACAAGGTGACCCATCTAGTTGACCAAGGGAAGCCAGTGAGTGTAGTTTTTAACTTCAGCAAATGTCTCTCACAGTATCCTAGATGAATTGTTCATCACAGAGCTAGGCAAGTCCATAATACTGGGTTGGGTGAGCAGTGGACAGATGGGTTGAGCTCAAAGAATTGCAGTGAATGGAATTACATCAGGCTCATGGCCAGTGACATTCCCCAGGACTCAGTTTTAGAGACAGTGTTCTTAAATGTTCTTATAAGTTGTCTGGACATAGGAATTAAAAGTACATTAAGTGATTTTACTGATGATACTAAATTAGGAGGAGATGGACTAAGTGGACTCTCTTGAGGGTAGAAAGGCCTTACAGAAAAGTTAAACTAGACAGCTGAGTACTCACCAACTCTATGAAATATATGGAGACTAAGTGCCACATTTTCCACCTGGGATGGGGCAATTGTGACCGTGGTCACAGGGGTTTTCAGGATGAGAGAGAGACGAGAATGTTGACTCTATGATCAGAAGGCTTGATTTATTATTTTATGATAGATATTACATTATAACTATACTAAAAAGAATAGAAGGAAAGTTCTCAGAATCTAGCTAAGCTAAGAATAGAAAAGGAATGAAATAACAAAGATCTGTGTCCCAGCAGAAAGCGAGAACAGCTCTGCCATGAGTGATGAGTAAATCCAAACATCCACGGGAGACCAATCACGGATCCACCTGTTGCATTCCACAGCAGCAGATAAACCATAGCAGTTTACATTTTGTTGCTGAAACTTCTCAGCTTCAGCAGGAAAAATGCTAATGAAAGGATTTTAATGAAAAGATGTCTGCGACAGGCAGTCATGTTATACATACAAATTGGGAAAGAGACTGGAGCACAGTGGGAAAAGACTAAAAGTCTGGGTCAATGGCAAGTTGAGTCAGCAGTGCCCTGGCAGCCAGGAGGGCCCCCATGTCCTGGAGGACATCAGGCACAGCATCACAGCCCAGAAACAGAGGAGATTGTCCTGCCCTGCTCTGCACTGGGGCAGCCTCACCTCGGGCGCTGGGGGCAGTTCTGGGTGCCACAATATAAGGAGGATATCAAACTTGTCTGTTTTGTCTGTCCAGAGGAGAGGAACCAAGATGGTAGAAGGCCTCAAGGGCAAGAGGAGGGGCAGCTGAGGTGACTTTTTTTGTTCCTTGTGTGGTGACCGCATCACAGCCTACTCCTTCTCAAGCAAAACAGCGGAGGGGAAGGTGCATATCTCCTCTCTCGAGTGACCAGTAATAGGACACAAGCAACTGGAATGAAGTGGTGTCAGAGGAAATTCAGGCACATTAGGCAAAATATTCCTCCCTCAGAGTGTGGTCTTCCCTGGAACAACTTCTGTATAAATGGTTAAAGCACTAAGCCTATCTAAGTTCAAGAAGCTCTTGGATATAGTCATATATTTGGTTTTAGGTAGTCCTGTGAGAAGCAGGATTTTGGACTCTATCCTTATGGGTCCCTTCCAACTGGAAATATTCTTTGATTTTCATTGTGGAAGACTCTAAAGTTTCTGGGTTTGCCATCTGTTTATTCAGTCTTGTCTTTTCTGTGCAGAGGAGAAGGAAAGATGTATGCAGGCTGAAAGAAAAAAAAACTTACCTTACTTGAGTTTCTTTCAATTGTCTTCATACAGGTACTAATCATTACAAGGATGGACTCTGAAAGAGAAAAAGATGCCTTCATTCATCCATTATCTAGGATAGAAGGTGAATTATTATTTTATGTGTATTTTTGAAATAAAAAGTGGCTGTTATTCTGTAGATCACTGCATTCCTGTGTAGATGCTTGGTGCAGGTTTTTCTCCCTTCCCATCAGGACCCTTTCTACATATTTTTTTCAGTGTTTAATATTTCATTATTCTTCCATCAGCCTTTTATCTTTTAATTTTGTATTCTCCCATTTAAGAGTTCTGGTCTAATGTCTTCTATTTCAAGAGAGTGATAATTTATCTGCCGAGTCAAAGATTTTTTTTTAACAGAACATGCAGGAGCTGTGGACAGCCCATTGTCTAATTATATTTGTATCTGTTATCTTGATGACATTGTCTCATTGTTTTTAGCTGATCATTAGTCACAAGCTTTCTTCCTTGCAAGCATGTTCAGAGCAGTTAGATTTTAGAAGTCTTAACTAAGCTCCCCAGCATAAAGCCTTGAATGAGTATTCAGGTACAAATTAAATTTTCCTTTAGCTATATGTTGCTGATCTTGTTTGCTAATATGTTAGATATGTCAGCATAAGCTGTATCAATCTATAAAGCTCAAGGTAAAAATATACTGTTTCCAATATCCCACCTCCCTACTGATACAAGCAACATTTTCATAATTTCAACATGTTACCTGTGAGTGATTTCACAAGTACAAGCTTTTTCAACACTGCAAATTCAGATGGTAAAACAAACACATTTTAGGAAAATTATAATTTGAGCCTATAGTTATGTTTAGGATAAGTCACTGGGTCCTTTTAAATTGCTTTTTTAAAATTCATTTTCCTAAATCCTATTTGCTTGAACCTTATCAAGTGTTGTGTATTGTGCTGTTCTTTTGCCTTTAAAAATAAAGTTAGATTCCCTGTGCTCTTAAAAGAAGAAAGTCTGTCTTTTAGAATGTTTTGAAAGGGAGGAGGCATGTTCACAACGCTATAACTAATAATAATATTTAATGAAAAGAGCTTTATTTGTTTTAAGATCTTAAGACTTGTTTGCAAACACAGGTCAATCCAACTACGCTTTTGAAAAAAGGCACTTGTGTAGAACCAACATTCCTTCTTAGATACATTTTCCAGTTAAAATTTCAAATGTACAAAAAGTGTAAAGGAATTTAATTTATAAAGGGGCAAATGCGGTTCCTTTTGTATTACCCTTTAATTTTTCATTTTAAGGTAATAGGGTTGTGAGTTTCTGAGACATTAAACTTGTTTGCATTACTTTTTCCTTGGTTTCTGAGAAGGAAGTTTCTAAATCATTACATCCAACAATACATGCAGAAATTGTAGAGGACTTCAGGAAGATAGACTATGTAAGACTTAAAATTTTAATAACCTGTGGTTTTCCACATTTGCTACTTACTGTTGTGTGTTGATTCATAATCACAGAGGTTTATTTATTTCGTCAACTGTTTAATTTTAATTTTTTAACAGGTTTGAAAGCTGTGGATTTGAATTCTGAGAAAAAAGGAAGCCCTTTAAGTTGTAAAGAGATCATAAGCAAGTAAGTTAAATTCTTTATTCATGAGAACAAATTCTTTAGTCTAGACTAAGGTCAGTGAAACTTCAGTTACTTTAGTTCCTTTTCATGAGTCTTTCCAGTCTGGAGTAAAGTTTTCATGGTAGTATTAGTTTGATAGCTGTAGTTTTCACCTATAGCTTCATTTTTATAGTTGATAATTTTGTCCACTCTAAGAAAAATGCTTAGTGAGGCCTAGAGGAACTTTAGGAACAAACAATTGCGTGTTCATTATATGTTGTTTTGCCTGTTTAGAAAAAGAGAAATATGTAGAGAAACATGATGTTTGCTTGTTATAGAAAAAGATGGTGAAAGGGCATAACAGAAGAAATTACAAATTATGACATTCTGAAATATATGACATTTTAGGCAGATAATTGTTGGAGGAAGAGTACAGCTTTTGATTTTTAAATTAACTTTTAAAGGAGTTGGACCCTTAGCCAGGAATGGTAAATATATTTTTGTAAATAGACTTTAAGCAGTTAGAATTGTCAAAGTAAAACTGAGTTTATTTTGTTCTTGTTTATTTTGTTGAGTGTATTTCTACCTGCATTTATTTTTACTCATATTTTGTTGGGGTTTTTTAAGTCTTAGTAGATATTCCTGCATTATTGTACATAATCAGCAAATTCGAGCTGACTTCCCTTGGACACACTTCTCACTAGTAATGGAGTATGATTATTCTGAAAATTCTGGCTGGAAAAATCTGTGCAAAAATCTGAATGTTACTTACATGACTTTTAAAACGACCTTCCCTGAAACAAGACAAATGAGTAAGTGTTCTCCAGAATTGTAATAAACAGTTGGACTGACATATGAAAACATTTTCTGTTCCATAAAATGCTATATTCTTATGCCTGTGGAAGAGAATGAGTAAAACATTATGAGGGCTAAAGCTCAACAAACAGAGCTAGGTTATCTATGCCACAAGAAGGTGGTTTTTTTTGAGTGTAAGCCTGGTTTTGGCCAGGATGTAGGAGTACATGTGGGTTTATAAGAGGCTTGTGCCAAGTTCATAAGTTGTTTACAGCTTCTGCAAGCTGTATCCACCCTTCCTCATTCTAAAAAAAAAATCTGAATTTAAGCATAATTTCAAAAAGATTCAAGGAAGTTTCATTTTGGGGGGAAAAAGGATGGAGTGGAAGTATTTTATTGGAGATTAATAAAAGATGCATTTTTGAATGTCCATTTGATGTATCTATAGTTTTTTGCTTATTAAACTATTATCTTACTTATACAAAATGTTTCAGGGAATCATGGTGGTTCCTTTCTTCTGGAAGTACAGATTCCATATGTATTTCTGACAACTGAAGGTCTTCTTAATATGCCAGATATTCTTCAGCTTTTTGAATCCAAGTGAGTGAAAAGAAGGGCTTCTGAGGGCTATTTATCTTCAGATTTTCAGCACATGTATTTTGTTCTACTCTATCATGTACTAGTCGTCTACTTGGCTATCACATACGTTTCTGCAATTACACTATTAGCTCTTTAAGAGACAAGAATATCGTTTTTTCTGTTGAAGTTGATAACTTAGTACTAGAGATTCACACACATGCCAACCAGAATGGAATTGTACAAATCTTTAAATTGTAGCTGGTATTTTTAAATCAGAACAACTTTTTTAATTGTCTACTTTTCTCTGAAAATCATGATGTTCACAAACTTTTCTTTCGTGCTTCTTGGTCCTTGGAAGACTTTGTATTTAATTCTTCATAAAAATTGCTTGTTGTTTTTGTTGTTTTTATCCACTGAAGCTATGCTGAATACTCAAACTGAGCAATAGTAAAACATCTTATTTTCTGGTGCATCACAGTGTTTAGGAGAGGCTAAGTTTAAAACAAAAGCTAATTTATTCATAAAATTCAAATCCACTATTCGCCTAATTTTTAGTACTCTGTAACCTGTATGAATACTGCTCGGGTTGTAAATCATTGGGCTTCTTTATTATTTCTTTGACATAATTTTCTTGAACTTTGCTTTCACAGTAATAAAAACTTGGTAAAGCTACCTTATATCTCATGAGGGGAAAGTAAAAAAAAAGAAAAGAAAGAATGAAAGAAACAAAGAAACACTGAAACAAAGAAATAGGGAGCAGAGCAGCTCAAACATAGTGACAGAGATACAGATAGTTGATTTCATCATATTGTGGGACAGACATGCCAGTGTTAATCCTGGGTATATCCTTGAGTCAGCTGTGGAGCCATTTTTGGTCTGTTTCTTATTACAGTTCAGTAGGGAGAAAAAATATATGTCTGACATTTAAAATATGAACACATAATCTGATATGCTTTTACTCTGACTTGTTCAGGTTCTCTGTTCAGCTTGGCCATAGGGAATGATGTTTTATTACTTTTTCACTAGCTTCTTTTAGCACTGGTGAGGGAGTTAAATAGGTGAGCAAAGAGCTGTAAGATTTCAGGAAAGGGGAAAATTTACTTTTTTAAAATATCTGAATACATTGTCCATACAAGTTTCTAGAGGACATACTGACAGATTCAGGTTTAGGTTTCTTGCGTAAAAGAAAAACGTGTTTTCCTAGTAAAACACAACAGGAACCTTTACTCTTGGCAGTTTTAAGTCAGTCAGAAATTTTAGGATCATACCAATGGCAATCAGGCAGTTTCCTTTGCTTTATGCTGCCCAATCATGTAAGGAGGAAAAGAAATGCAGTATGTAAAGTCAGAAAAAGTTTCTAAGTGTCTTAGTTCCTATGTAACCACTATATTTTTTGTAAACTCAAAGCCTGGATGTCAAGATCATACTCAATACAGTTAGCAATATAATTTAATTACTGCTACATTGATATGTTTCATTCAAATGTGAACATATCTTAAAGTGAACTGAGCATTTGAGAAAGATCAAGACTATATAATTAAAAAACTGTATTAAGGGGTGTCTGTTATCCATTTCCTTTTAGAAAATAGTATTATTTTACTTGTCAGAGTTTTAATGAAATAATTTTACTTTTTCAGGTACAGCATTACCTTTGTTGAAAGAAGCAGCAGTTACTCCTTAAGGCTCTTTGGAAGTGCAGATCAATATGTTGTGCTGACAGTAGATGAATGCACTGCTATCTTTCTGCAGGTACAAAATTAAACTACTGTGTCCAAATTCTGTTATGTGTTCAGTCACTTCTAGGTCATATCTTCAGACTTCTAACACATCTTTTCTTCCCCATAATCTTATTTAATTCATGCATTGTTTCACATCACAAATCATTAACCCTAAAAGTCTGTGCCAGTTTGACTAGTTTGAAATGTTCTCAGTTTCTTCATTGAAGTAACATTTGACCTGTGATTTGATTTTACAAAAAGTAGCTAAAGAATGCATACTTCAAAAGAGGGTTATGTAAAATTTTGTAGCTACCAATTAAATGTATTTGTGGTTCTATTCTCTTACTAGTGTGCATATTAATTCCTTCCATTTCAGATGGTTATCTGAATTAATCTATAGAATAATTTGTACTAGTTTTAATAAAAAATAATAGTTTAAGCAATAGCATACTACTTATATTCTGGTATGCAACAAGACAGATTACAGGTAGAAGAACTGCTTCTGAAAGATAGATACATAATAAAATAATCAATTAGTATTACAAGTACAGCAAAGACATTCTTACTAGCTGGTGCAATTAGTGATGTACTTTATATAGTTCGTGTAGGTATGATATGACTTGTATAGGCCAAGTAAGTACTTCATAAGTTTATAACAATATTTTGCATTATTAAAGTTCCCAAAAAATATTGAGAACAGCCTAAAAAGGGATTATCACTGTTTCTTTTTAGAGGAAGGAAGGAAGAAAAGGCATAAAGCTTGAATCAGCCTTTTGAAGTTCAAAGAAAATAAAAGTTGGGAATACAAACTAGTTCTCCCAATTCTCATATGTGTCCTTAATGCTTACATTATTTAGCTGTATTTATGTTTGATCTAGTTTCTGCATATTATATTTATTCTTATTAAAAGCTTGGGGCAGCCATGGTAATGTATTTATTTAGTTTTTACTCTTTATTTAAATTCCATGGTAGAGTGTCGAAGAACTAAATTATGAGGACTTCTGTGACACTGTAATATCAAGGCTGATGGCATTATCACTCCAATATATGTGCTGTTGGATTATTTTCTATTCCAAAGAAAGACTGAGTTTAGAGTAAGTTACTAAATTCTTTTGTAACAAACTTGTCACTAAAGAAAACTGCTTATTAAAACAAGTTGATATTCATTTATCTTTGAACTTCTCTGTAGGAATACATTTCTCTTAGAACAATACAAATATTGTAAGCTCATATTTCTAGTGTGCTTTGGATTTTTCACTTAGTTAAAATGTTGTCATGCTCCTACTGAAAAACTTAGTGGAATTGTAAAAGTAATAATGATCACTGGAGAACACCAAAAGCTCAGAAAATTTTTTATTTGTGAGACTATTTTCAATCTTACACCAATGATAAAGAAATGGTCGTTATAAAATAACAGAGTTTGAGGCAGCCAATATTAACATGAGGTATATTTGAAATCAACAAGTCCGGAAATTTCACAACTGCAAAGACATGAAATACTGGAATTATTCTTACATCTGTTTGAAGTAAATGAACCCATACAAATGCATGGTTATGAATTACTGTGTTAACACCATTGTATATAATTTGCATTGTATATTGCTTGAAATATTCTTTAAGTGTTCTTCCAGTGCATCAGTAGTTCTCCTTTTGCAGTGGAAGCACAACTTCTATTGACATAGTTCATAAACATTAATTTATTACCTCTTTTGAGATTTTTTTCTGTAAGCAAGTAATTTCTTCTCTGTTTTTCCTCCAGTGTCTCCAGCAACTGACATTGATCCATACCTTTTGCTTCAGACCAGACTTGCTCTTCTGTAGACTACTGTTTTCTGTTTTCTTTCCTTACAGTCCTTCAGCAGTCAGTCCGTAGAATATATTCTAGTTTTCTTTCCACAGATATTAATGCTCCAACTGTATCAGTATTCTGAATTCCAGAAAATGAAACAGATATTTATGAAGACATGGAACAAATGGTTTGAGATTATTACATGTGCATATTAAATATTAATGATCCAGTGAAACTGTTTTCCAGGTACAGTCTCAAGGGAAATACTCTGCTTAATCTTGTCTTAATTTATGCCACTGTAATTGAACTTACACAGAAGTCAGAAGACTTTGAAGTGAAGGTAACTTTTTTCTGTATTAATCTTCATGATATGCTATTTCTAAAAAGCTCAATCAAGTATGCCTTCTACATCAAAAACATAAAATAGCTCAAAATTACTTAAATAGGAGAAGATTGTAATTCAGTGCTGCTAAAGTCAGTGAAAAGACTGTGTTGACTGCAATACAAGTTGAATCAGAATCAAATAGCAGATGAAATATTTTCATAACTAGGAGTCATAAAATGGAATCATACCTTTAATAAATTATTAGAATATACATTAATCTTGCTTATGTCTTAATTTGAATTTTCAGATCAATATTTTGTTGCTGATGTGACAGAAGAAAAAAATAAATTATTTGCTGTCAGCTAGTGCGCTTTTTTAATGTGACAAGATAGGTTAACTTCTTTCTTTAAAAATCAGCAAATCTAGAAAATCTGTTTTAGTATCCAGAATAATCAGCATTAAAAAAATGGGGCATAAGTTTCATTCAGCTTACCAAATTGTGGGTAACTTATATTTTAGAACGAAGTGATATCTTTTTAGGCATGTTTTTCCATTTATTTGCAGCCAATATTGAGTGCAGATCTTTATGAAGTCATTATTATTTGCATATTAAAGTTTGTATAAAACTTACCTGATTAAATGAAAGTTATGAGGATGAATAGAGGACAAAGCTTTTTCATTTCATGTACTCACCAGTGTAGCTTTTATGGAAATTATAGCTTCAAAGTGTTACACATCATCTTAAACTGTAGTAGGCATCTCACAATTGCATGTTTTATTAAGAGCTCATGTTATGACCAGAAACTTGATCACATATTAAAGACCTTTAGGATAAATAAGTTAATTTCACCTACATAGGATCTTCATAAATAAGGAGTGTGATTTGCAGCCAGGTCAAAGGTTGGAGTTTTTCTGCATGATAAGCATGGATCAGATTTGATCAGGTTTAATTACTCAGCAGTACTGACTCTTGTGTTCAGGGTGACCTTTAGTTGACATGTCAATGTCTGGGGCAAATTAGTACACTGCTTAGAGTAAGTTTTAACCAAGAGTATTATGTATCACCTTTAGGTAGTTCTTACGCCAGGGATTGAAGAGACAGCACTGGTAATTCGTCAGATTGCTGACAACGTTTTGATAGCATCTAATATCAGCCCTCATGAGTGGCTGGACAAATCCTGGCTTTCTATCTTACCATCTGAGGTTTGCTCATCTTCCTACGAACTGACAGTTTTCTTCCTGTTTCTAAGATTCATAAAGATTTAGGGTTTTTTGTTGTAGTTCTCTTAAAATATATTACTAAAATAAGCATTATTATATTTGTGTATCTATATATATGCAGATGTATATACAAGCATATTTCTAGTATATATGCAAAGACATGTATATATACATACATATATATGTGTGTGTGTGTCTGTCTGTCTGTGTGTGTGTGTGTGTGTGTGTGTGTGTGTGTGTAATATTTTCATCATCTTTGTCAGTACAATTAGATGCAACTTGGACTTACCCTGGGCCTTCACAATTAACCTGTAGGGAGGTTTATCCACCACATCTACTTGCCAATTTGTACAGTTCTATAGTTCTAGGCAGTAGGTTTAAAAAACTACCCAAATTGTAAAAGAAAAACATACAGTGGCTCACTTGGGCAGGAAGCCAAATTCAGCAGTGTTGATCCATTACTTAAGTCAGTGGCATTGCTTGCTGACTTGTGTCAGTAACAGATGGAAAAATCTTGTTTAACTACTGCAGTTACTTAACTCATATTCTGTCCGGTTTTCAGCTGTTTGAAGGGCCTGGAAAGGCCCAGAGTAGCCTTGGGGCAGCCCGCGTATCAAAGGACGAGAAGAGGCTTCAGTTCTTCTTTCGGTCTTTATGTTTATTAATTGTTTATCTAAAAGATTTTCTTTCGGCCCGACAGAGGTCTGCTCAGCAGCCAGCCATGAGCACACTGT